CTCTCACCACTAGACTGGCTACAGACGCAGCACAAGTACAGGGGGTAAGTAGTAAGCACACACATGAACACACAACACACACACACACACACAAACACACACACACACACACACTAACCCTCCCTCCCTCTCCAGGCTACAGGAGTGCGTTTGGCCACTCTGGCCCAGAACGTGGCTAACCTGGGCACCAGTCTGATCATCTCGTTTGTGTACGGCTGGCAGCTGACTCTTCTCATCCTGTGTGTGGTACCTGTCATGGCTGTAGCTGGAGGCATACAGATGAAGATGCTCTCTGGTCACGCTGTCAAAGACAAGAAAGAGCTAGAACAGGCTGGCAAGGTACACAACCCCCCGTCTTATGCACTCTCTTCATATCTCCCAAAGTTTGCCACAGTGAATATCTATACGTTCTTCTCTCGAGTCTAACCAGTGTGTGTGTGTGTGACAGATTGCCACAGAAGCCATAGAGAACATCCGTACGGTGGCGTCTCTCACCAGAGAGCAGAAGTTTGAGTCTCTGTACCAGGAGAACCTCATAGTGCCTTACAAGTACGTGTGCTACAAAGTTGATAATTTCCATTATAAAAAAAGTCCTATTCATTGCTGTGTTTTTAATGTGTCAACAGTATCAGTCTTGTAAATGTACTATATAACTTTTGTTTATGTAATCACCCCTCTCTTTAATCCCCCCCCCCCTCTCTCTTTCCCTCTGTAGGAACTCTCAGAAGAAGGCCCATGTGTATGGCATCACATTCTCCTTCTCTCAGGCTATGATCTACTTTGCCTATGCAGGCTGCTTCCGCTTCGGAGCCTGGCTCATAGAGGAAGGCATTATGACCTTCGAAAATGTCTTCCTGTGAGTATAGCAGCTACCTTACTTACATACTTCAGTCAAGTGTCCATGTTCACAACTGTCCTTATAGCCTTTTGCTATGTGACTATAAGGCCATGTTGGAACGACTCAATTGCTTCCCTAATATGGGTGCTGGGTGGAGACAGGTACAGTAGTGTTCCGGATGTTGTGTACATTGTACAGTAGAGCTCAGGTACAGTAGAACACACCCCGGCCCAGCTAGGCCTGACAGGAATATCAGGTATTACAGTGGTCAAAGGTGGTTGTGGTTAATCATTACCTCACTGGGAAGTGTGTTGGAGGTCAACGCTGATCTAGGGACTCATCATCGTAGCATCAATGGCCATTTAGCCATGACATTGCTGACGTGACCCATAGAAACTGACGTTATAGAGTAGATATCACGACTAACGGCTACACGACTAAAGGCTTGGATTACATTTTATTTGAAAAGGTGTACATAAGGCAGTCATAACACTGTAATAACAGCAACATAACATCTGTCATAAACATATGTTACTATTGTCATTAAAGCTGCAATATGTCACTTTTTGGGTGACCCGACCAAATGCACATAGAAATGTATGTTATAGATCTGCCATTGTCATTGAAAGCAAGTCTAAGAAGTGGTAGGTCTGTTCTATTTGCACTGTTTCTATGTTTCCGTTCTTAAGCTTTGTTTTTGCGTCTTTTACTTGACTCGTTTTTTTACACCAGCGACAAACAGCTGAACATATTTTGGGTTATTGAAAATATATTTCACAGCGGTTTAGATGCTACAATGATTCTCTTTTGCATGTTTTGTCACATAAACAAAAATTTGGCAAACTATTAGGCGCGATTTCTGCACATTGCACCTTTAAGTGTCATGTGGTTCTAATATGTCACTTTCAATGTCAAGTAGAAATTTCTCTGGCATGACATCAAGATAATTTAAATTGAACTTAAATTAGACTTTAGCGAGCTTGATACAATAGTTTCTGAGATTGATACACTGTTTTAGCATTTGTGACGCAAAAGCAATGCAATTTCGCGCTTCATGTTGTCAGGAGTGTCAGTGTAATGCGGTGGATCGAAGTCAGGCGCAGGACACAGAACTCTATGAAAACGTACTTTACTGAATAAGTAAAGAACCAATACAAAATACCTCCACACAGGGAGGAACAAACCCGCTCACCAAACGACACACGAAACGAAAAACAAACACGCACAAAACACAATGGGAGCCACCGGGTTAAATAGGGAAGGAGAAATTACATGATGGAAAACAGGTGTGTGACAATCAGACAACAACAGGTAGAACATAGAAACATAGATCGGCAGCAGCTAGTATTCCGGTGACGACGAACGCCGAAGCCTGCCCGAGCAAGGAGGAGGGGCAGCCTTGGCAGAATCCGTGACAGTACCCCCCCCCCCCCCCCCGATGCGCGGCTCCAGCCATGCGTCGACACCGGCCTCGGGGACGGCCAGGAGGACGCGGTGCGGGGCGAGTCGGATGACTGCGGTGGAAATCCGTCAACATGGAGGGATCGAGGATGTCCCTCCTAGGGACCCAGCACCATTCCTCCGGACCGTACCCCTCCCACTCCACAAGATACTGCAGGCCTCCCACCCGACGCCTCGAATCCAAGATGGAACGGACCGAGTACGCCGGTGCCCCCTCGATGTCCAGTGGGGGTGGAGGAACCGCCCGTATCTCAGACTCCTGGAGTGGACCAGCTACTACCGGCCTGAGGAGAGACACATGGAACGAGGGGTTAATACGATAATCAGGAGGAAGCTGTAACCTATAACATACCTCGTTCAATCTCCTCAGGACTTTGAATGGCCCCACGGGGCATACACCGGAGCCTCACTGCGGTGGCGGTCGGCGCTCGCCTTTTGTCCGCCCGATGGCCCATTGCAGGCGCACATGGGCAGCGTTCCAGGTCCCCTGCGAGCGCCGAAACCATTCATCCACCGCAGGTGCCTCGATCTGGTTCTGATGCCAAGGTGCCAGAACCGGCTGATAACCTAATACACACTGGAATGGAGAAAGGTTAGTGGAGGAGTGGCGGAGTGAGTTTTGGGCCATCTCTGCCAAGGGGAGGAAAACCGACCACTCCCCCCGCCGGTCCTGGAAATACGATCTCAGAAACCTACCCACCTGCTGGTTTACTCTCTCCACCTGCCCGTTACTTTCGGGGTGAAACCCTGAGGTCAGGCTGACCGAGACTCCCAGACGTTCCATGAACGCCCTCCAGACTCTCGAGGTGAACTGGGAACCCCGATCAGACACTATATCCTCAGGTACCCCATAGTGCTGGAAGACGTGTGTAAATAGGGCCTCAGCAGTCTGTAGGGCCGTAGGGAGACCGGGCAGAGGAATGAGGCAGCAGGACTTAGAAAACCGATCCACAACGACCAGGATCGTGGTGTGGAGGTGGGAAGATCCGTCACGAAGTCCACCGATAGGTGGGACCACGGTCGTTGTGGAACGGGTAGGGGTTGCAATTTCCCTCTGGGCAGGTGTCTAGGAGCCTTACACTGGGCGCACATCGAGCAGGAGGAAACATAAACCCTCACATCCTTAGCTAAGGTGGGCCACCAGTACTTCCCACTAAGACAATGCACTGTCTGACCGATGCCAGGATGACCAGAGGAGAGTGACGTGTGAGCCCAATAGATCAAACGATCGCGGACCTCCAGCGGGACGTACACACGACCCTCTGGATACTGGGGAGGAGTGGCACCTCCCACACCACCGGTCACACCAGACACGACGCCGGAAGTATGGGAGTGGGCTCCACGGAACTCTCCTCCGTGTCATACAGTCGGGACAGAGCATCTGCCTTAGCGTTCTGGGAACCTGGCCTGTAAGAAAGGGTGAAAACAAAACGGGCGAGAAACATGGACCACCTTGCCTGGTGAGGGTTTAATCTCCTCGCCGCCTGGATGTACTCCAGATTGCGGTGGTCAGTCAAAATTAGAAAAGGGTGTTTAGCCCCCTCAAGCCAATGTCTCCACGCTTTCAGGGCTTGGACCACAGCCAACAGCTCCCGGTCCCCCACATCATAGTTGCGCTCCACTGGGCTGAACTTCTTCGAAAAGAACGCACAGGGGCGGAGCTTGGGTGGTGTGCCCGAGCGCTGGGAAAGTACAGCACCTATCCCAGCCTCTGACGCGTCCACCTCAACCGGAGGGATCCGGATGAGCCAGCACTGGAGCCGAGGTAAATAGGTTTTTCAGATGACTGAACGCCCTGTCTGCCTCAGCTGACCACCGCAGGCGCACCGGTCCCCCCTTCAGCAACAAGGTAATGGGAGCCGCTACCTGACCAAAGCCCTGGATAAATCTCCGGTAGTAATTGGCAAACCCCAAAAATTGCTGCACCTCCTTCACCGTGGTTGGAGTCGCCCAATTACGCACGGCCGAAATGCGGTCACTCTCCATCCTCACCCCAGACGCGGGCATGTGGTACCCTAGGAAGGAGATGGACTCCTGGAAGAACAGGCATTTCTCCGCCTTGGCATACAGGTCATGCTTCAACAGTCGTCCAAGCACTTTACGCACCAGGGACACATGCTCGGCCCGTGTAGCAGAGTATATGAGAATGTCATCTATATACACCACTACACCCTGTCCGTGCAGATCCCTGAAAATCTCATCGACAAAGGATTGGAAGACTGATGGAGCATTCATCAACCCGTATGGCATGACGAGGTACTCATAGTGTCCTGAGGTAGTACTGAATGCCGTCTTCCACTCATCTCCCTCCCGGATACGCACCAGGTTGTACGCGCTCCTGAGATCCAATTTCGTGAAGAAGCGCGCCCCGTGCAATGACTCTGTCATACAAGCTATCAGAGGTAATGGATAGCTGTACTTGACGGTGATCTGATTAAGACCACGGTAATCAATGCACGGGCGTAACCCACCATCCTTCTTCTTCACGAAAAAGAAATTTGAGGAAACAGGTGAAGTGGAAGGCCGAATGTATCCCTGTCTCAGAGATTCGGAAACATATGTTTCCATAGCCGCCTTCTCCTCCTGTGACAGAGGGTACACGTGACTCCGAGGAAGTGCAGCGCCCACCTGGAGATTTATCGAACACAATGTATGTGGTAATTTAGTCACCCTCTTTTTACTGAAGGCGAGAGCCAAATCGGCATACTCTGAAGGAATGTGCATTGTGGAGACCTGGTTTGGACACTCCACCGTAGTAGCCCCTAAGGAAACCCCTACACACCTCCCTGAGCACTGACTGGACCATCCCTTGAGAGCCCTTTGTTGCCAGGAAATAGTGGGATCATGAGTGGTTAACCAGGGAAGTCCCAACACCACAGGATACGCAGGAGAATCAATCAGATAGAGACTAAGCCTCTCCTCATGACCCCCCTGCGTCCTCATTAAGAGTGGTGCGGTGACCTCCCTGATTAGGCCTGACCCTAACGGGCGACTATCTAATGCATGTACAGGGAAGGGCACATCAACACGAACAGTGGGAATCCCTAAACTAAGTGAATACTGACGATCAATAAAATTCCCAGCTGCGCCTGAATCTACTAGTGCCTTATGCTGGGAATGAGGAGAAAACTCTGCGAAAACAACCTCAATACACAGCTGACCAACAGGGAGCTCTGGGTGAGTCGGGTGCTTACTCACCTGAGATGGTCGACCAGTGCTCTGCCTACTGCCTCGACTCCCTGGGGACCCTCCCCAGCACCGACCCGCAGTGTGTCCTCTGCGGCCACAGTTGGTGCAGGGGACGGCCCCTCTCCTGGTCTCCCTAAGCGCAGCACCTCCGAGCTCCATGGGGGTAGGGTCGGAGATGCTGGGAGATGGACTGGACGGGCCCTGATCAGAACGTCCGCGGGTCTCCAACAGGTTATCCAGCCTGATGGACATCTCCACCAGTTGGTCCAGGTTGAGGTTGGTATCCCTGCAGGCCAGTTCCCGCCGAACGTCCTCCCTTAGGCTGCATCAATAGTGGTCGATCAGGGCCCTCTCATTCCATCCTGCGCTGGCTGCCAGAGTCCTGAACTCCAGCGCAAAATCCTGGGCGCTCCTCCTCTCCTGTCTTAGGTGGAACAGACGCTCTGTGAAATCCTCATAGCGGACAGATGTAGCGTCAATTCCTCCCCACTCAGCGTTGGCCCACTCGGCGTTGGCCCACTCGAGCACCTTCCCCGACAGACAGGAGATGAGGGCGGACACGCTCTCGTATCCCGAGGGCACCGGGTGAATGGTTGCCAGGTAGAGCTCTACCTGGAGAAGGAAACCCTGACACCCGGCTGGTGTACCGTCATATGCCCTCGGGAGCGAGAGCCGAATCCCATTGGACCCAGGTGGCGAAGGGGTGGACAGTGGTATGGGTGGTTGAGTGGTTGGAGGAGGTGTAGGAAAGCCACCTCTACCCCATCGGTCCACAGCATTTACCACTCTCTCCAAAGCGGTACCGAGAGCCTGGATCATGCTCTCCTGTCGTTGAACGCGTTCCTCCATCGATCTGAACTGACTGGCTGTATCTGCTGACTCCATTTTGGTGCGTGTTTCTGTCACGAGTGTCAGTATAATGCGGTGGATCGAAGTCAGGCGCAAGACACAGAACTCTATGAAAACGTACTTTACTGAATAAGTAAAGAACCAATACAAAATACCCCCACACAGGGAGGAAAAAACCCACTCACCAAACGACACACGAAACGAAAAACAAACACGCACAAAACACAATGGGAGCCACCGGGTTAAATAGGGAAGGAGAAATTACATGATGGGAAACAGGTGTGTGACAATCAGACAACAACAGGTAGAACATAGAAACATAGAACATAGATCAGCAGCAGCTAGTATTCCGGTGACGACGAATGCCGAAGCCTGCCCGAGCAAGGAGGAGGGGCAGCCTCGGCAGAATCCGTGACACATGTCCAAATCATAGCATCTTAAATTGATTGTGTAACTGTAACTCGATGCAGTTATTTATCGCTTTTCATTACAGTGTTATCTCAAAGCTCTACATGGGCAGATCATTTGAATCAAGGCAGGTAATAGCAATAGTAGGCTAGGTGCTAAAATAGCCAAATCGGCATACTCTGAAGGAATGTGCATTGTGGAGACCTGGTTTGGACACTCCACCGTAGTAGCCCCTAAGGAAACCCCTACACACCTCCCTGAGCACTGACTGGACCATCCCTTGAGAGCCCTTTGTTGCCAGGAAATAGTGGGATCATGAGTGGTTAACCAGGGAAGTCCCAACACCACAGGATACGCAGGAGAATCAATCAGATAGAGACTAAGCCTCTCCTCATGACCCCCCTGCGTCCTCATTAAGAGTGGTGCGGTGACCTCCCTGATTAGGCCTGACCCTAACGGGCGACTATCTAATGCATGTACAGGGAAGGGCACATCACACGAACAGTGGGAATCCCTAAACTAAGTGAATACTGACGATCAATAAAATTCCCAGCTGCGCCTGAATCTACTAGTGCCTTATGCTGGGAATGAGGAGAAAACTCTGCGAAAACAACCTCAATACACAGCTGACCAACAGGGAGCTCTGGGTGAGTCGGGTGCTTACTCACCTGAGATGGTCGACCAGTGCTTTTCAGATTAGGACTATGAGAAAGATAGTCTGTAGAAAGGTGTTTTAAGGCTCGTTTTAAAGGCTCCAATTGATGTAGCGGCTCTCAGATGGTCAGGGAGAGCATTCCATAGGCGAGGGGCAATGGAACAGAAGGCTCGGTTCCCAATAGTACAGAGATGTGTCTTGGGCACTTGAAGCAGTGGTGATTTGAACATGAAGCTCGTAAATATAATGTTGGTAACATTGACTTGCATTGTATTTGTGCCCCAAATGCTAAAAAGTTAGCATCTGGAAACAGTGGCCAGGTAAACAAAACCAAAGCAGCCCATTGACTGCTTAAAGGGTAAGGAAACCAATATGTAATTTTGTACTTTGGGTGAACTATCCCTTTAAGATACATGTTAGATGGATAGTAACCTGTTCTCTGTGTCTCTCTCTCTCCAGGGTGATCTCTGCAGGGTGAACTATCCATTTAAGATACATGTTAGCCAGAGAGTAACCTGTTCTCTCTGTCTCTCTCCAGGGTGATCTCTGCAGTGCTGTACGGAGCCATGGCAGTAGGAGAGGCCAACTCCTTTACGCCTAACTATGCCAAGGCCAAGATATCAGCATCTCACCTTATGTTCCTCATCAACAGAGAACCTGCCATAGACAACTGCTCACAGGAGGGAGAAACACCGGTACACACACACACACGCACACACACGCACACACACACACGCACGCACGCACGCACGCACGCACGCACGCACGCACGCACGCACGCACGCACACACGCACACCACGCACGCACCCACGCACGCACACACACACACACACACACACACACACACACACACACACACACACACACACACACACACACACACACACACACACACACACATACACACACACACACACACACAGTGGCTATCACAGTGAAGAGGTGTGGAGTGATTGTATAGTACATGCCAGGGGATTATTTCATGAACTGATGTTCTTCTGCCTCCCTCTCTTCCCTCCAGGACCACTTTGATGGTAACGTGCGTTTCGAGGGGGTGACGTTCAACTACCCGTCCCGTCCAGACCTTGCTGTCCTGCAGGGGCTGGAGCTGAAGGTGCAGAAGGGACAGACTCTAGCCCTGGTGGGCAGCAGTGGCTGTGGGAAGAGTACCACCATACAATTACTGGAGCGATTCTACGACCCACTACAGGGCACAGTGGTGAGTCCACACACACACACACACGGTTCACACACACACACACACACGGTACACACACATGTTATGTTTTTCTATCCTCGTGGGGACATAGAATTAATTTCCATTCAAAATCCTATTTTCCCTAACTCCTAACCCTAACCCTTACCATAACCCAAACCCTAAACTTAACTCCTAATCCTAATTGTAACCCTAACCCTAAACCTAACCCCTAAGCTTAAAATAGCCTTTGTCCTCATGGGGACGTGGAAATGTCCCACAAGGGATAATTTTTGTTTTACTATCCTTGTGGGGACTTTGGGGGATTTCAGGTCCCCACAAGGATAGAAGAACGAACTCACACATACACACACACATTCCCACAAACACCGCACATTCCCACAAACATAGACTCTTTCACACGTGTATACACACATTGATTATTAAAGCTATATGTACTGTATGTTTAATGATCACTGTCACCAGTCAGACAGTGAGATATTTGCTAGAATTTTTATATGCAAAAATACATGAAAACATAGAGCACTCAATGTGTTCTCCATGTGTCTCCATGTGTCTTCCATGTGTTCTCCATGTGTCTCCATGTGTCCTCCATGTGTCTCCATGTGTCCTCCATGTTCTCCATGTGTCTCCATGTGTTCTCCATGTGTCTCCATGTGTCCTCCATGTGTCCTCCATGTGTTTCCATGTGTTCTCCATGTGTCCTCCATGTGTCTCCAAGTGTCCTCCATGTGTCTTCATGTGTCCTCCATGTGTCTCCATGTGTCCTCCATGTGTCTCCATGTGTTTCCATGTGTTCTCCATGTGTCTCCATGTGTCTCCATGTGTTCTCCATGTGTTTCCATGTGTCTTCATGTGTCTCCATGTGTTCTCCATATGTCTCCATGTGTCTCCATGTGTCCTCCATGTGTTTCCATGTGTTTCCATGTGTCCTCCATGTGTTTCCATGTGTTTCCATGTGTTATCCATGTGTTTCCATGTGTCTCCATGTGTCTCCATGTGTCCTCCATGTGTCTCCATGTGTCCTCCATGTGTTTCCATGTGTTTCCATGTGTCTCCATGTGTCCTCCATGTGTTCTCCATGTGTTTCCATGTGTCCTCCATGTGTCCTCCATGTGTTCTCCATGTGTTTCCATGTGTCCTCCATGTGTCCTCCATGTGTTTCTATGTGTCCTCCATGTGTCTCCATGTGTTCTCCATGTGTCCCGTGTAGCTCAGTTGGTAGAGCATAGCGTTAGCAACGCCAGGGTTGTGGGTTCGATTCCCACGGGGGGCCAGTATGAAAATGTATGCACTCACTAACTGTAAGTCGCTCTGGATAAGAGTGTCTGTTAAATGACGTAAATGTAAATGTAATGTGTCCTCCATGTGTTTGCCATCGTTCTCCTTGTGTAACTGTGTAGATATTGTCCTACTGAAACAGGGTTCTATAATTACTGATTGACAGGCCAGGATGTTGACACTGTTGCTTCATAACCCTCTACTGTACTGAGACCTTGTGGGTTATGTTCCTGCTCAAAGTGCATGTGTGCGTGTGTGGGTTATTGCCCAGCTAAGGCCACTGATAAAATGACAAACATTAGAGGATTATCCAACTTTGATGTTAACTCTTCCACCTCCTCTTCTTCCTCAGATGTTGGATGACAGTGATGCTAAGAAGCTTAACATCCATTGGCTGAGGGCCCAGATGGGCATCGTATCCCAGGAGCCCGTGCTGTTTGACTGTAGTCTGGCAGAGAACATTGCCTACGGAGACAACACACGCAAAGTTACCATGGAGGAGATCCAGAGTGCTGCTAAAGCTGCCAACATACACAGCTTCATAGACGACCTGCCTCAGGTACACACTAATACTACTACCACCAATACTACTGTAACCACTACTACCACCAATACTACTACTGTAGTCCCCTGTAGCTCAGTTGGTAGAGCATGGCGCTTGCAACGCCAGGGTTGTGGGTTAGTTTCCCACGGGGGGGGGGGGGCAGTATGAAAATGTATGCACTAACTGTAAGTCGCTCTGGATAAGAGCGCCTGCTAAATTACTAAAATGTACTACCACCAATACTACTACTGTCACCACTACTACTATTGCTACTGATTTTACTAATACTACTACTGCTGCTGCTACTACTACTGTAAGCATTTTCTGCTTTTGTAAGTTTGGTTTCTTGAGATCTCCACATCAGCACCAAGACCCTAATAGCGGCTGCATGGTCAGATAACCACAGACAGACTGATAGTGGTATCAGCTTCTCTCAGATGCCGTGCCAGAGATAACACTGCAGGTCATTACTGGACTCATAAAGCTCATGTCATTTTAGTGCTGTTCCCTGTGTAAGGGTCTTACACTGTCTTTCACTAGGAGGGTTTTCACACACAGATTAAGCCTAGTCCTGGATTTAAAAAGCAATTTTCAATGGTGAATGTGTGTTAGTCCAGGGCTAGATTTAGGCCGGGATTCGATGCAAGGCGCATTGTAGCATAGAGCACTACACAGCCAACAATACGCCTTTTAAAGGCATTTTCCCCAGGCGTTCGCGTTCATGGTAAACGCTACGCATCTCAGCTCAATCGTAAATTTAATCCCGGCCTTAATCTGTGTTGGGGAAACCAGCCCTAGGATTTACTTATGTCCTGTGTGAGATGACGAGGATAACCTGTCTTTCTTTCTTTCCCTCCCCTCATCCCTTCATCCCACTGAGTAGAAGTATGACACCCAAGCCGGTGACAAGGGGACCCAGTTGTCAGGAGGTCAGAAGCAGCGTATAGCCATCGCCAGAGCCATCCTCCGCAACCCCAAAGTCCTGCTGCTGGACGAGGCCACCTCCGCACTGGACACAGAGAGCGAGAGGGTGAGTGTGTGTGTGCTGTTAAACTATATATCTCTATTTGGATTCATGATACAGACTTTATAACTACTGTATGTTTTTTCTCTCTGTTCTCCCTGTCCCCCTCCCTCCCTCCCCCAGGTGGTGCAGGAGGCACTGGACGTGGCTCGGCAGGGCAGGACGTGTATCGTGGTGGCCCACCGCCTGTCCACCATCCAGAACGCTGACCTGATCGCTGTCTTCCAGAAGGGTGTGGTGGTGGAGCAGGGCACTCATCAACAACTACTGTCCCAGAGAGGAGTATACTACTCACTGGTTACCACCCAGCTGGGCCATGGCAGAAAATGAGGGAGGAGAGGAAGAGAGGAGGATGGAGAGAGGAAGAGAAAAGTGGAAGAGAGGAGGATGGAGAGCGGAAGAGAGGAAGAGAGGAGTATACAACTCACTGGTTACCACACAGCTGGGCCATGACAGTGAGGGAGGAGAGGATGGAGAGAGGAAGAGAGGAGTGGAAAAGGGAGGGAGAGGCTGAGGCTGCAGGGGGGTGCTGGGGCCGGGAGGGCTTGAGGATGCAGGGGGGTGCTGGGACCGGGAGGGCTTGAGGGTGCAGGAACCGGGAGGGCTTGAGGGTGCAGGGAGGTGCTGGGACCGGGAGGGCTTGAGGGTGCAGGGGGGTGCTGGGACCAGGATGGGCTGAGGGTGCAGGGAGGTGCTGGGACCGGGAGGGCTTGAGGGTGCAAGGGGGTGCTGGGACCAGGAGGGGCTGAGGATGCAGGGAGGTGCTAGGACCGGGAGGGGCGGAGGGTGCTGGGACTGGGAGGGGCTGAGGGTGCAGGGGACTATTTTGTGTATAAAGTGAAGAGGAGGTGGTGCAGTATTTCAGTTATTTATTCAAAAAGTATCACATCTGTACCATAGAGTGCCTGTGTTCCAAATGAATACATGGAACACACACATATACACACGTCTGCGCTTTACTGTAAACTGTGCATGGAACTAAGCCAATGAGACTCATCTGACACAGTATGTATCCTCAGCATTCAGATTATTACATTAATTTGTTCTAATTTTATTTTGGCTGAAAGGAAAACTCCACCCAAAAACTATATTTTGGCATTTGTTTCATTAGTCCAAGATATGTAACTTTCAAAATACAGAAATCATCCCTGTATGATGCAATTTAAAAAACGCAGCATCATATGATGCAAAATGCATCATACAGGGATGATTTCTGTATTTTGAAAGTTACATATCTTGAAAACTTGAGTGCTGACAAGCAAAACATTTTGGGACTATGTCAACAATGGACTAATGAAAAAAATAACAAAATAGTTTTTGGGTGGAGTTTTCCTTTAAAGGTCCAGTGCAGGCAAAAACTAGATTTTCCTGTGTTTTATATATATTTCCACACTAAGAGAGAATAAAGGTGATTCTGAAACTGTGAAAATGATGTTAATGCCCTTTTAGTGTAAGAGCTGTTTGAATAGACTGCCTGAAATTTCAGCCTGGTTTGGTGGGATGGAGTTTTGGCCTGCCTGGTGACATCACCAGGCATACATTGGTTAATAGACCAGTAAGAAAGAGTTCCAAACCTCTCTGCCAATAACAGCTAGTTTTCAGTTTTCCCCTCCCCACTCCCAGACAGCCCTAGCACAATTCTTGCTTGAGAAATTGCTCTTTGCTAAGAAGCTATTTTTATTTATTTAAAACAATCACAGTAAGGTACTTAATTGTTACCCAGAAATGATTTGATATTGAGCTAAAAACAGATGCATTGGAACTTTAATGTTGAGGAATACTTTTTTTAATACGTTTGATAATCTTGAGATGTGGCCTTCCAAACTGTCTCTGTGCTATGCTCATGCTACTGGAAGTGCCTGAGGTATTTAAATGGACCAAAGACTTCCTGACTGTTTTGTTTGACTTCCCTGTAGCTAAGATGGTGAGTGAGAGATACATACACACACCTGAGGGTTGGGGCTCAAGCACTAACAGTATATTGATACAAACCACGTTCCTGTTTCTACAATTGCACTGAATTAACAACCTCTGCTTGGGTATGTATGTATGCATTACTTTTTTATGTAAACAGGTATCATTAATAAATGTTTTTATTTGAATATTTGGGCTCATGACATGATTCATTCAGTTTAATCACACTAAAGAAGTTTCATATTCAATTCAACATTTTCCAAGTTTACATTGTCAGTAAGTCAATACTATAATTCTCCTACTGTAAAGTGGGCTACATAATTTTCACTACTTGATTGAATCAAGTGCAGTGCTCTTCTTTGATCACATTTCTATCATTTACAAAAAAAACATGCTGAAAATCTCTACAGGTCTCAAGAATATCTGAAGGTATTAACACAATGGCCGTGTTCGAGAGCATCAAAACCGTGATGTATCATGGGTAAATTGTGACTGCACTGTTGGCTGCAATGTCGAACAGGCCCAATGTTATTACATTCAGTGTCATTGAATGTGAAATAAGTAAATATTCAATGAAAAGCCATATCAGAGTAGTTGAAAATTTCAGTCAGTATGATGTTGATAAAGCTTCAGATTAATGGAGAGAAACATAGTCAGATTAATGGAGCGAAAACTAGTCAAGTGAATCAATCAAATAACAAAGCCTAGATGCCAATCTGTTTCTGCTTTAGCCAAGTTTGTCTTGCTACAAATAAAACAGACTATTCCATGACTACCACAGTAGTCACTGCAGATTTAAACATAAACATACAGGTATACAGGAATGCTCATTATTACAGACATCTACATAGAATGGCATATTGCATAGGGTGGTGGCATATGGATCTGGCATAGGAGTGGTAGTAACACAGCCGCTTTGGAAGTCTAAGAAGTCAATCAATCAAAACCACTAACCAGATCTCTGGGAACAGACTAAAATAAGGACACAGCAAAAAGGCACTTTTGAATTTACTTGGGTTTCTTTCTGCCTCACCCAAACTTTTAACACCATTTCATTGATGGGACACTCATCCAAATGCATAATCCTCTAATGATGTGCAAAACATAAAAACTATCATTTTTCTTGCCCCGGAAACTGGAAAACAATTTTGATTTGAGTAGGGCCCTTATATAAAATACCCATGAGGCCATACAGTAGTCAAAGATAACATTACCTGTTTCTCTCAGTTTTTCCACTTCCCATTTCACAGCTACAGTTACGTTCTAAAGACTCATTTCAACCAATCAAGAACATCAATGCCTCAGTCACTCTTCTGGAAAAGCCAACCAATATAGAAAAATAATACTGTTCATGAATCCCTAATGACCAGTGACACGTGACGTGGTCACTGCAGGCTGGAAGTGTTATGGTGAGGGTGAGTTAGCTTAGCGGGGTACAGTGCATGGCTTAACACTAAATGTTTCTCACAACATAAAAACAACAGACTAAATCTAAACAGAATCATGGTAGGAAGTTCAATCTATACATTTTGAAAACAGGGATTCCCAATCTAGATGCTACAATAAAATCACAGAGAATTACATTCATTAAAGTGTCAATTAAACTAATTTGTTGAACTGCATTTAAACAAATAATTTTCTTTTATTATTATTTATAAAATCAAAGTGCCTTTGCATTGATCTGTGCAAAACTAAACTATTATTGGCTACCATCTAGAAACTGTATATGTGTGTGTGTTACAGCTGAGCTGTGGTAGCGAGATGTAGCATCTCATGTAAGGAAGTAACCAGGTTCTGGAACAGTGTCTCTGCATCCGTCTCCGGACTGGACTTCCACGCTGAACAGGAAGCCACGATCCTGAATCAGGAAGTACAAGTCAGATACCGGACACTTGTAGAGGTTAAACAAATCTGGTCCTCATAGAGGGGACGGAACAACACAGCTGCACTTTCCAACTACTACTATTGAACTTCACTCTTGACCCCACTAACAAGATGACACGGCTAATAGGTGGAATAGCAACTGTTATCTGGTCAAGCATGCATTGTCCAGAGTCCAGGACCTAAAGCACTAACATCTATCTAGTGGTATCTACTCACAGAGGGATATCTAAACACCATTACTCTCCCTACAGTATTATGTCATCAGAGAAACAGGGAAGGGGAGGAGGGTCCCAAATCATCATTTCACATCCTCTAGTCTAGCTATTCTGTAGTTTATTTTAGTAATGCACTCATGTGTTAGGAGGTTGGAGCTACAGTGGCTTGTGAAAGTATCCACCCCCCTTGGCATTTTTCCTATTTTGTTGCCTTACAACCTGGAATTAAAATTGATTTTTGGGGGGTTTGTATCATTTGATTTACACAACATGCCTACCACTTTGAAGATGCAAAATATTTTTTTATTGTGATACAAACAAGAAATAAGACACACAAAAAAAAAAAACTTGACCATGCATAACTATTCACCCCCCCAAAGTCAATACTTTGTAGAGCCACCTTTTGCAGCAATTAGAGTTGCAAGTCTCTTGGGGTATGTCTCTATAAGCTTGGCACATCTACCCACTGGGATTTTTTATTTTTTTATTTAACCTTTATTTAACCAGGTAAGCCAGTTGAGAACAAGTTCTCATTTACAACTGCGTCCTGGCCAAGATAAAGCAAAGCAGTGCGATAAAAACAACAACACAGAGTTACATATGGGGTAAACAAAACATAAAGTCAAAAATACAACAGAAAATATATATACAGTGTGTGCGAATGTAGTAAATTATGGAGGTAAGGCAATAAATAGGCCATAGTGCAAAATAGTTACAATTTCGTATTAACACTGGAATGATAGATGTGCAAAAGATGATGTGCAAATAGAGATACTGGGGTGCAAATTAGCAAAATATGGGGATGAGGTAGTTGGATGGGCTAATTACAGATGGGCTTTATAGATGACCTGGAGCCAGTGGGTTTGGCGACGAATATGCAGTGAGGGCCAGCCAACAAGAGCGTACAGGTCACAATGGTGGGTAGTATATGGGGCTTTGGTGACAAAATGGATGGCACTGTGATAGACTACATCCAATTTGCTGACTAGAGTGTTGGGAGGCTATTTTGTAAATGACATTGCCGAAGTCAAGGATCGGTAGGATAGTCCGTTTTACGAGGGCATGTTTGGCAGCATGAGTGAAGGAGGCTTTGTTGCGAAATAGGAAGCCGATTCTAGATCTAACTTTTGATTGGAGATGCTTAATGTGAGTCTGGAAGGAGAGTTTACAGTCTAACCAGACACCTAGGTATTTGTAGTTGTCCAGATACTCTAGGTCAGACCCGCCGAGAGTAGTGATTCTAGTCGGGTGGGCGGGTGCAAGCAGCGTTCGGTTGAAGAGCATGCATTTAGTTTTACTAGTGTTTAAGAGCAGTTGGAGGCTACGGAAGGAGTGTTGTATGGCATTGAAGCTCGTTTGGAGGTTTGTTAACACAGTGTCCAATAAAGGGCCAGATGTATACAAAATGGTGTCGTCCGCATAGAGGTGGATCCGAGCGTCACCAGCAGCAAGAGCAACATCATTGATATACACAGAGAAACTATCTGAGAAGTAGTTGGTGAACCAGGCGAGGCAGTCATTTGAGAAACCAAGGCTATTTAGTCTGCCAGTAAGAATGCGGTGGTTGACAGTCGAAAGCCTTGGCCAGGTCGATGAAGACGACTGCGCAGTACTGTCTTTTATCGATCGCGGTTATAATATCGTTTAGGACCTTGAGCGTGGCTGAGGTGCACCCATGACCAGCTCGGAAACCGGATTGCATAGCGGAGAAGGTACGGTGGGATTCGAAATGGTCGGTGATCTGTTTGTTAACTTGGCTTTCAAAAACTTTAGAAAGGCAGGGCAGGATGGCTATAGGTCTGTAACAGTTTGGATCTAGAGTGTCACCCCCTTTGAAGAGGGGGATGACCGCGGCAGCTTTCCAATCTCTGGGGATCTCAGACGTTACGAAAGAGAGGTTGAACAGGCTGGTAATAGGGGTTGCAACCCCACCCCCTGGGGCCTTTCAGAACAGGTGTATATATACTGAGATCATGTGACAGATCATGTGACACTTAGATTGCACACAGGTGGACTTTATTTAACTAATTATGTGACTTCTGAAGGTAATTGGTTGCACCAAATCTTATTTAGGGGCTTCATAGCAAAGGGGGTAAATACATATGCACGCACCAATTTTCTGTTATTTATTTTTTATAATTTTTGAAAAATGTTATTTTTTTCATTTCACTTCACCAATTTGGACTATTTTGTGTATATCCATTACATGAAATCCAAATAAAAATCCATTTAAATTACAGGTTGTAATGCAACAAAATAGGAAAAACGCCAAGGGGGATGAATACTTTTGCAAGGCACTGTAGGTGATAATGTGTGTGTGTGTGTGTGTGTGTGTTTACTGGTCAAATTGTGGTTGCGGTTGCATGGGGTTTGTGTGTGTGTGTTTACTGGTCAAACTGTGGATGCTGTTGCGTGGGGTCAGTGTGTGTGTGTGTGTGTGTGTGTACGTGCGTGTGTAATAGCCCACCTGTCGTCTCCGATGCGGTAGAAGAACCCGTAGCCATGGTGCACCATGGGAGCGACCGCTCCCAGGACTGTGGTGTAGCCAACCAGACTGGTGGACAGGACAAAGTTACCGCCCCCGCCACTGGAGAGAGAACACACACAAATTACACATACCATAAACACACACACACACAAACAAACAAACAATCACACATACAGTAGGGAGAACAAGTATTTGATACACTGCCGATTTTGCAGGTTTTCCTACTTACAAAGCATGTAGAGGTCTGTAATTTTTATCATAGGTACACTTCAACTGTGAGAGACGGAATCTAAAACAAAAATCCAGAAAATCACATTGTATGATTTTTAAGTAATTAATTTGAATTTTTTTGCATGACATAAGTATTTGATACATCAGAAAAGCAGAACTTAATATTTGGTACAGAAACCTTTGTTTGCAATTACAGAGATCATACGTTTCCTGTAGGTCTTGACCAGGTTTGCACACACTGCAGCTGGGATTTTGGCCCACTCCTCCATACAGACCTTCTCCAGATCCTTCAGGTTTTGTGGCTGTCGCTGGGCAATACGGACTTTCAGCTTCCTCCAAAGATTTTCTATTGGGTTCAGGTCTGGAGACTGGCTAGGCCACTCCAGGACCTTGAGATGCTTCTTACGGAGCCACTCCTTAGTTGCCCTGGCTGTGTGTTTCGGGTCGTTGTCATGCTGGAAGACCCAGCCACGACCCATCTTCAATGCTCCCCTCAATACGGTGCAGTCGTACTGTCCCCTTTGCAGAAAAGCATCTGCAAAGAATGATGTTTCCACCACCATGCTTCACGGTTGGGATGGTGTTCTTGGGGTTGTACTCATCCTTCTTCTTCCTCCAAATACGGCGAGTGGAGTTTAGACCAAAAAGCTATATTTTTGTCTCATCAGACCACATGACCTTCTCCCATTCCTCCTCTGGATCATCCAGATGGTCATTGGCAAACTTCAGATGGGCCTGGACATGCGCTGGCTTGAGCAGGGGGACCTTGCGTGCGCTGCAGGATTTTAATCCATGACGGCGTAGTGTGTTACTAATGGTTTTCTTTGAGACTGTGGTCCCAGCTCTCTTCAGGTCATTGACCATGTCCTGCCGTGTAGTTCTGGGCTGATCCCTCACGATCATTGATGCCCCACGAGGTGAGATCTTGCGGCCCCAGACCGAGGGTGATTGACCGTCATCTTGAACTTCTTCCATTTTCTAATAATTGCGCCAACAGTTGTTGCCTTCTCACCAAGCTGCTTGCCTATTGTCCTGTAGCCCATCTCAGCCTTGTGCAGGTCTACAATTTTATCCCTGATGTCCTTACACAGCTCTCTGGTCTTGGCCATTGTGGAGAGGTTGGAGTCTGTTTGATTGAGTGTGTGGACAGGTGTCTTTTATACTAGTAATGAGTTCAAACAGGTGCAGTTAATACAGGTAATGAGTGGAGAACAGGAGGGCTTCTTAAAGAAAAACTAACAGGTCTGTGAGAGCCGGAATTCTTACTGGTTGGTAGGTGATCAAATACTTATGTCATGCAATAAAATGCAAATTAATTACTTAAAAATCATACAATGTGATTTTCTGGATTTTTGTTTTAGATTCCGTCTCTCAAAGTTGAAGTGTACCTATGATAAAAATTACAGACATCTACATGCTTTGTAAGTAGGAACACCTGCAAAATTGGCAGTGTATCAAATACTTGTTCTCCCCACTGTACCTCTTTGAATACAGTGGATCAGTGAAAAGGTCTGGCATAGGAAGTCCCTCCTCCTTGGCGATCAGGTACAGGCCCAGGAGATGTCTGTCAAAACCTTTTCCGTTCTGTGCCTCGGCCATCAGTTTGTTGTGCTTGTTGAAGGCCAGCAGCAGGGCTTTCCTCTTAGCCTCAGCCTGGGAGACACACAGAAAGTCATAGTGTAATTAGCCTGGTCGCCAGATTTACATGTATGGCATGACAATGAATGAAGAACTAACTGGTTTATTGGACACACACAAACTCTCACACTTACGCTGGCTACAGGGTTGAGCATGATGCGGCACCAGTTCTGTGCTTCCAGGGTACAGGGCCTCATGGTCTCAGTCCTGCCGTGGTAGAACCTTCTGGTCATCGCTGTCTCATAGCAACTACCTGACCTGGGACGGGGGATTATCATCAATCATCAGTTATGGAGAGACTATTGGGGGGAAGGATGGATGAATGGATGGGTGGATGTTGAGTGTGTGGTAGATGGATGAATTGGATGGATGATGGGTGGTGTTACCTCCCATGCTGTCTGTAATAAGCCAGTTGAAGGGCCAGTTGTATGAAGGTGTCTGGGTGGAGCTTCCTCTGTTTGATAGCTGCTTTCCCAAACGAGGTGAAGGCATAACACACCACCTGCAAGTCCTGGGTCTGGAGACACACACACAGGTCTGTCAAACCAGGTATCACACACAGATTAGAGTTGTGTGTGTGAGGTGGGGAGTGTAAGGACCTCTGAGGGTGTGTGTTAGACAGCTGCGGCCCAGACAGAGAATTCACGGTCTGCATTTCTCATGCTGCTGGGGTCAGACAAACAACTTTGGAATGATTTTTTTTGGGGGGTCCCACAGATTATTTAGAATGGTTGTCTTTCTGTTTTTTAAAAGCTCCTCTTTGTCAGACTATTCACTAACCTGTTTCTTAGGCAATGTTTTGCACATTTTGATCTTGCCTAGGGTGGCAGAATTGCCTAGGGTGGCAGAATTGCATAACATACACCTAAAATAACATTGGGGACTGTAGGCGTGTTCGGGACCAGTTCTTGAGGGAGCGGATGGGAGTCGGACAAGAAGACAGTCCTGCACAGACTTCTGTTTGTGCGCGATCAACACAACCTAATCTGACCACTAGGGGGAAGCAGAGAAATGAATGGAAGATGTGTGTGTGTGTGTTTGTGGACTCACAGTCTCAAAGTACTGTTGCTTGGCATGTGCAATGTCACTCCTGACTCTGTCATCCACAGTGAAGACCAACTCTTCAGGAAGAGGCATAGGCCGCACTGTCTCAGAGCCCTACACAGACACACACAATAAAAATGACACTGTTGCTTACTCACAGTGAAATTAACCTGTTTATTACCTGATACATGGAAGTGTAACTGTTTGCCAACGGGAATAGAGAGCCACTTTATCCTATTGTTCTCAGGTGTGGGCTACGGCGTAAAATCTTCTAAATAGAACCAGAGTGGAATTTTATGCTGAGCCGAGCACGCAGATCCGGCATGCTTATGCCCAGGTTTCACTGAAATGAATAGGAGCGTCTCAAACTCAGCAATAGTTATGCGTCCGGTTTAGCAGGCCAGTAAGGCACTTAGAATTAAGGACAAACAAGATATACAGTCACTAAAAATAAGTTCAATAGAAACTGTATTTACCTTCCACTTGCCGTCTGTAGCTTTGAGCTGCTGATCCACATAGTAACCCTGAGTTACCAGAACCATGGCATCATACGGGGCATGCTGCAACACACACACAAAGCAGCAATTACCATAGATAGGAGCACACTCACAACAAAACATCATTACACTACAGCCAACAGAGGAGTATTGTTATCTCAAACCATCGCTCTTTCTCTCTCTACAAACAGTAACTCACGTCACAGTTGGATCCGAAGGTTCCGTCGGCGAAGGAGATGGAGTTGTAGGATTTGTCTCCCCAGCGGATGGTGGGGTCTCCTATCAGCGCTTCCCGGGTCAACTGGGGGTAAAGGCCAAAGGTCAGATTATACCATACTTAGGATGGTATGGTTGCTTGTGGTGTATGTGTGTGTACGTACCGGTGTGTAGTTCTCTGCAGTAGCGTAGGGTTTAGCATCGTCCAGTGAGACCACAAACAGACTGCTCTGGATGGTCTCTAAGAGGGTCTTATTGGCTGGATCTATACCTATCAGATACTCCCTGGCCTACAGAGAGACAGAGACAGACAGAGAGACACAGAGACGTTTAGGGCATGGTGATGTCCGTTCTATACATCCAACTTCAAACACACCTTAGCCCAGCGTGTCCTCTCCTCTGAGGTGAGAGCGGCGACTCCATCTCCTGCTGGCTCCCCCTCACAACACTGCTTCACATAGGTCAGCTGCCTACACACGCCACAAACACACATACACAAATACTGATACATACACGCAAAGGCATATAAATACATGCAAATATATGCAGATGCACATAAATATACCTAAATATCCACCGGCCAGCATACCTGAGCAGCTCTGGAGGGGTAAGAATGTGTCCGTCACACACTGCATCAAATGAGAAGAAACGGCCCTTACACATCACCACCACATGGGAGGGGCATGGACCCTCGCTCTCTACAACACACAGAAAAAACACATCTATACATACACAAAATGTATAAATCCACACACACACACACATACAGTTGAAGTTGGAAGTTTACATACACCTTAGCCAAATACAAAACACATCAATAAATATACACACAAAATGAAATCAGTACACACACACAAAGGCCTATATAAATAACAGAAAGTACTACACACAAAAAAAAATACACGCATTACTAACATCATATTGCATAGGGGTGTGTGTGGAAGAGGGGGGGGGGGGGGGGGGGGGGTCACCTACCTGTCTTAAAGTAGTTGATGATGGTATCCTTGGTGACTCCAGGAACTTTGCATGTACAGAACAGCATTCTGAACTGGTCCATATCCAACACCACATTACCGTTCTTATGAGGGTCCAGCCTCTCCCTGTCGGAGATAACACAGTCAGAGAGTGTGTACTGAACGTACGTAGGTGTGTGTGTGTGTTTCAAGTTCTTTTAGTCGTATGCACGGGATACACATGGTTTACACCGTCCAACTAAATGCTTACTTGCAGGTTCCTTCTCGACAATGCAACAACAATAAGAAATAAAAGATAAGAATACGAACGTAAAGTAAATGTCTCAGTAGAATAGAATAAACACTTTAAACAAGTATAATACAGGAAGGCACAATTCATAGTCCAATATTTACACGTGTTTTGGGGAAGGGGGGGATTGGGGGACAAAATGTTTACGTAAGAGTCTGGTAGCAGCAGTTGTGATGTGTGTGTAGCATGAATGTATATACACGGAGTGTACAAAACATTAGGAACACCATCCTAATATTGAGTTGCACCCCCCCTTTTGCCCAATTCATTGAGGCATGGACTCTACAAGGTGTTGAAAGCGTTCCACAGGGATGCTGGTCTATGTTGACTCCATTGCTTCCTTCCCACAGTTGTGTCAAGTTGGTTGGATGTCCTTTGGGTGGTGGACCATTCTTGATACACATGGGAAACTGTTGAGCGTGAGAAACCCTGCAGCGTTGCAGTTCTTGACACACTCAAGGATCATAGCTTTCACCTGGATTCACCTGGTCAGTCTATGTAATGGAAAGAGCAGGTGTTCCTAATGTTTTGTACACTCAATGTGTGCGTGTCTTACGTGCGGAGCAGGTCCCAGTATTGTAGAGTGTGCCACATGCTTATGCTATTCCTCTGTAGCTGTACTCCCTCTGTAGGGGGCCAGCAGTGCTCTAGGTAGGGTGCAGGACCTCCGAAGTTCACATTCAACTGGGAGGGGTAACGCAATTCCAGATAGGCTGCATCCAGCCACCACTCCTCCAACTGGGGGTCAACACACACACAATAAAGATGAAACACTGCAGGGGAACACCGTAATGACTAGTATTTAAAACACTCAAAGTTTCCCTTTTACAGTTGCTCAGGGTCGAGCATGGTGTGTGCCCAGTTCTCCCAGGTTCTAGCTGTGCAGTGTGTTGTGTATGTGTGTGTGTGTGTTTGTTGAGTGTGTGTACCCAGTTCCTGTGAGTCCTGGCTCTCTGCAGTAGTTTTTGGTGCAGGTCTTTGCCGATGCCCTCTCCAAACCTCTTCAATATGGCCGCAGTCACCTGGTACTCCTCCTCTGTAGCAAACGGCCGCACTGGAAATACACACAGACATTTCAGTTAATCGACAAACACACATGGTTCAGGGTCCAGGCTAACGGAGCTTCTCGTTCACACATGCAGCTGGCATCTCACCTGCATCCAGGTACTTGGCGAGGCTCCCCTCTAGAGACGGTACAGGGAGAGGAGGCAGTCTATGCTGGTACTGAAATGTCCGCTCAGCGGGGGACTCTGACACCTGGTTGGCCATGTTGTCACCTACAGCACCAAAACACCTGGTTAGCCATGTTGGTACATACAGCACCAAAACACCTGGTTAGCCATGTTGTCACATACAGCACCAAAACACCTGGTTAGCCATGTTGGTACATACAGCACCAAAACACCTGGTTGGCCATGTTGTCACCTACAGCACCAAAACACCTGGTTGGCCATGTTGTCACCTACAGCACCAAAACACCTGGTTGGCCATGTTGTCACCTACAGCACCAAAACACCTGGTTAGCCATGTTGTCACCTACAGCAGCAAAACACCTGGTTGGCCATGTTGTCACCTACAGCACCAAAACACCTGGTTGGCCATGTTGTCACCTACAGCACCAAAACACCTGGTTGGCCATGTTGTCACCTACAGCACCAAAACACCTGGTTGGCCATGTTGTCACCTACAGCACCAAAACACCTGGTTGGCCATGTTGTCACATACAGCACCAAAACACCTGGTTGGCCACGTTGTCACCTACAGCACCAAAACACCTGGTTGGCCATGTTGTCACATACAGCACCAAAACACCTGGTTGGCCATGTTGTCACATACAGCACCAAAACACCTGGTTGGCCATGTTGTCACCTACAGCACTGTAAAAGGAATTTCCAGGTGAACAAAAGAGAAGAGCAGTCGCAGATAAAGTCAATTTAAAACCAATCCTGTTTATTACAAGTTGCAACAGGGAAACAGCATCCAGCATAGAAAGAGAACATGTCTAACTGGCCTCTTGGAGACTGTACCTTAATGTCTTAATCAGACAGCACCAAATGTTCTGTCAACAGCAGCCTGAGAGGCTTGTAGCAAGTCAAAACTAAAAGGCAACGACTTTGTCAGCTGCTACGGAATCACAGTGTTCACAGGATGTCATCAATACAATACAACAGTGAATAATCAGTGTGTCCTCCAGTCTGGCATCATGCACTATCAACAGATATGAGAATAATCCATATCATTCAGCATCAAGTCTATTGACCATCAACCCACACCTTGTATGTCACAAAACAGAAACTCCAATATGCTAACCATTGTGTTGATCACTCTAAACTCAATATTAACTTCAGTCATCTTAGATTTCCCCATTACAAGCACCAAAAGACCTGGTTAGCCATAGACCTACTGTCCCCAAGCCTGGTAGACTCTACAAATCCAAGTGTGGACTGGACAAGCCTCCACTATCGTCTAACTTTGAGATCAAAAAAAATAATCAAAACAGTTCCTTTACAAGTCAGAATGTTGAATAAACTTCATTTGAAGTTACTCTGTAGATTGTCCATGGGGTTGGTCCATCAGCAGGTCGAAATTAAAATGATTTAAAGTATTATTAAATTGACTTCAAAACTGGGGTCTGTGTGTGGTTATCACGATATGTTTGCTCATCAACCAAGGCAGGTGCACAAGACAGAAGGAAGTACATGCACCCGATGCATGCATACTACCTGAAGTCTTGCAGATGTTTACATGGATTTGCGCATGTGCCAGGTGATAGAAATGTCTCGCATTATACATTTCTACCGACAAAAATATCCCAATTTGTCTAGCGTATTTTGTTTTTATTGACATTTGGAAAGCACAAACAGATTTTGGACCAGGCTAACTGTTGGGGAGAGTGGGGTAAGTTGAGACGTTTTTCGAGGGAAATATAGTATTCTTTCTAACAAAGATATATTTCAGGATGTTGTGTATCCCTAGAAATAATCAGAATTAATGTAAACAGTTTTGAAAACATAGCTAGTCTCAAAAAAAGTGGTCTCTTGGCACAACATACCCTGGGTATGGGGTAAGTTGAGCCTGCGGGACAGGGTAAGTTAAACTGCCTACAAATTTCTGTACTGAATGAAATATTACCACTACCTTTTTAAAACCATGTCTACCTTTATTTTCCAAACACAATCGCTTTAAAATATATATTTTAATCACTTTAAGCATCTTTTAAAGCTGCAATATGTAACTTTTTGAGCAACCTGACCAAATTCACATAGAAATGTGAGTTATAGATCTGTCATTCTCGTTGAACGCAAGTCTAAGACGCAGTAGATATGTTCTATGTGCGCTATTTCTATGCTTCCCGTTCTTAAGTTTAGTTTTTGCGTCTTTTACTTTCAGTTTTGTACACCAGCTTCAAACAGCTGAAAATACAATATTTTTGGTTATTGAAAATATTTCACAGTGGTTTAGATAATAATAAGCCATTTAGCAGACGCTTTTATCCAAAGCGACTTAGTCATCTGTGCATACATTTTTACGTATGGGTGGTCCCGGGGATCGAACCCACTACCCTGGCGTTACAAGCGCCATGCTCTACCAATTGAGCTACAGAGGACCAATGATGGCACATTGATTCTCTATACCCATCACACTCAACTCTGGACATCGAAGCCAGTTCCACTGCTTTTTCCATTGTTCCCCTCTAATCAGGGACTGATTTAGACCTGGGACATCAGGTGGGTGGTATTCATTATCAGGTAGAACAGAAAACCAGTAGGCTCCAGACCTCAAAGGGTAAGAGTTGAATAACACTGCTCTACACACTGAGTGTACAAAACATTAGGAACACCTTCCTAATATTGAGTTGCACCCCTTTTCGCCCTCAGAAGAGTCTCAATTCATTGGGGAATGGACTCTACAATGTGTCGAAAGCGTTACACAGGGATGCTGGCCCATGTTGACTCCAACGCTTTGTCAAGTTGGCTGGATGTGCTTTGGGTGGTGGACCATTCTTGATACACACGGGAAACTGTTGAGCATTAAAAACCCAGCAGCGTTGCAGTTCTTGACACACTCAAACCGGTGCGCCTGGCATCTACTATTATACCCCGTTCAAAGGCACTTAAATATTTTGTCTTGCCAAGTCACCCTCTGATTGGCACACATACACAATCCACATCTCAATTGTCTCAAGGCTTAAAATCCTTATATAACATGTATCCTCCCCTTCATCTACACTGATTGAAGTAGATTTAAAAAGGTGACATCAATAAGGGATCATAGCTTTCACCTGGTCAGTATATGTAATGGAAAGAGCAGGTGTTCCTAATGTTTTGTACACCCAGTGCAAAACATTAGCAACACCTGCTCTTTCCATGACAGACTGCTCTTACCTCATATTCCAGCAATAATGCCTCGCATTATGCCTGGAAAAAAAAAATCAATTTGCTCAACATGCCATTGGCTCAATTTACTCCAAGGCAAACATTTACTATATTAGCCCACATAACTACAAGGATGCACTTTCATGCTAGGTTTCGGACCTCATACTGAAGCTTATAGAGACTCCAACTGAGGTATGTATTTGTATTTATTAGGGATCTCCATTAGCCCTGGGGTCCAAACACATTAAGGCACTTACATCACACATAAAACAAAAGATAACAGTACATCATATAACATTATTACACCACCACATATCTACAATACAAAATGTATAATACCACCATACAACAATATTACAATGTACGTGTGTGTAGAGTGCGTGTGTGTGTGCGTATGCCTGTACCTGTGTGTGTCTCTTCACAGTCCCCGCTGTTCCATAAGGTGTATTTCCATCAGTTTTTTTTAAATCTGATCATACTGCTTGCATCAGTTACCTGATGTGGAATAGAGTTCCATGTAGTCATGGCTCTATGTAGTACTGTGCGCCTCCCATAGTCTGTTCTGGACTTGGGGATTGTGACGAGACCTCTGGTGGCATGTCTTGTGGGGTATGCATGGGTGTCCGAGCTGTGTGCTAGTAGTTTAAACAGACAGCTCGGTGCATTCAGCTTGTCAACACTTCTTACAAAAACAAGTAGTGATGAAGTCAATCTCTCCTCCACTTTGAGCCATGAGAGATTGATATGCATGTTATTAATGTTAGCTCTCCGTGTACATTTAAGGGCCAGCCGTGCTGCCCTGTTCTGAGCCAATTGAAATTTTCCTAAGTCCCTCTTTGTGGTACCTGACCACATGACTGAACAGTAGTCCAGGTGCGACAAAACTAGGGCCTGTAGGATCTGCCTTGTTGATAGTGTTGTTAAGGCAGAGCAGCGCTTTATTATGGACAGACTTCTCCCCATCTTAGTTACTGTTGTATCAACATGTTTTGACCATGACAGTTTACAATCCAGGGTTACTCCAAGCTGTTTAGTCACCTGTGATCGATAATGTCAAAAGCCGCACTGAAGTCTAACAAAACAGCCCCCACAATCTTTTTATCATACATTTCTCTCAGCCAATCATCAGTCATTTGTGCAAGTGCTTGTTGAATGTCCTTCCCTATTAGCATGCTGAAAGTCTGTTGTCAATTTGTTTACTGTAAAATAGCATTTTATCTTGTCAAACACAATTTTTTCCCAAAGTTTACTAAGGGTTGGTAACAGGCTGATTGGTCAGCTATTTGAGCCAGTAAATGGGGCTTTAGTATTCTTGGGTAGCGCAATGACTTTTGCTTCCCTCCAGGCTTGAGGGCACACACTTTCTAGTATGCTCAGATTTAACATATGGCAAATAGGAGTGGCAATAACGTCAGCTATTATCTTCAGTAATTGTCCATCCAAGTTGTCAGACCCCGGTGGCTTGTCATTGTTGATAGACAACAATAATTTGTTCACCTCATCATTTGGTCAACTATACTTGGATGTGTAGTGTCTACGTTTGTTGCTGGCATGTCATGCCTAAGTTTGCTAATATTGCCAATGAAAAAATAATTAAAGTAGTTGGCCATATCAGTGGGTTCATCTGATTCAATGAATGATGGAGTTGAGTTTACCTTTTTATAGAACAATCTTTAAATTATCTACTTTGGTTTAGATACAAGCATCATGAAACCTCCAACACAAATTCATGACTTGGTGAAAATCTGTTTTTTGGACTAACGTTAACTTCCTTACCACTTTTTCCATATTTGGTCAAATTATTAATTTTGTTTATGGTTTCCTAGAAACAAGGGTGGCTCAACCTACCCCTTTGGCTCAATTTACCCCAATCTCCCCTACTACAGTACAGTCATTATCTACAAAGATAGTTGTATAATTTGTAGCTGGGCAATTCCATTGTTACGGAATTACTCTTTAAAAATGTATGCCAAACAAAAACCATTGATTTCGAAGTTTAACAAACCATACAACCAAATCGCAGTATCAGAGTAATTCCAAAATAACATGGAATTGCCCAGCTAGCTAGACTCGCAGGCCAGATGCAACTTTTATTATTCGAGCTTTGCCGAGGTGGCGCAGCCTTGTACCAATCGCATTAATAAGCACTTGTATAGCACATTTGCTCAGCAATTGATTACCATATCAATTCTGGCTACATAACCATATGATCAAACATAGTTAGCTAGCAAGCCAGTTCTACTTACTGCAGAAGCAAGTGCACTAGCTAGCTATAAAATAGTTGTCCCCTGAGGCCGTTGCATTGTTTTCACCCAGCGCTCGAATGTAGGTCAGATTCAGTTTGCAGTCCGATCGAAGCAGCCTAATCCCACAAACATGACAAGCAAACTCACTTTAGTATTTTGCGAATTCCAATATGTGAAAAGTTGTCTTCAGTCGTCCATGCAAAATAAAAAATAATGTTGCGGATATTGTCTAGACTAGACTGCGGAGGAAGGCGCTTGCGGTAGTTGTGTGTTGTTGCCCCGCTCGTGGTGAATCCAGCGCTTCTCATCACCTTTCACCCAGTAATTGGTCATGGCTAGAAGGGATACAGCTTTTGTCAAATTAACGTCGTGTATTTATTTTGCCATTTTAGCTAAATCTGACCTTTTTCGTAATCGTAACCTAATTCTCTTAACCTGCTACGTTAATTATCCTAACCTGCTGTGTACATTCTCCTAACCTGCTACGAAAAATCAAATCTGAAAAAACTGTATCCAATCTAGTCAAAACCCCAGCTAGCGGACTGCCAACACCCGGAAGAGAGGAGTGGTGACATTATCACACGTGACTTGGCTTTATTCATTATACCATGGATATCTATTGTGAGACTGCTAAAACACTCCTCTTCAAATAGTTGTTTGATCTTTACATGAGGCCAGATATGCATGCATTCTTGTACGGTTGTACTTTTAGATAGTTCATTATCAACATTAGATCCTGGTGCATTACGGTGTATATGAAACATATCATACAAACTGCTGTGATCAGTGATGATCATGGCACCATACAGATTACAGAAACAGCATAATTTTAAGGCAACTTTACACATTTAATGCGCAATGGGTTGTACCATAACAAGCACATAAAGGCTTCATAATTCATAAAGGTCACGTTAACTGACTGATATCATCTCATAGAACATAACATAAGATCTCCTAAGCCTTATTTTCTGTGTATATCCCAAAACCCCATTCTTTCCCTATTAGAAATGGCCAACGAAACAAAGACAGAAAATGCTAACTCATTTCTGTTTTTTAGGACTACAAGCTGGCTGGCTCTATATGCAACAGGATTTCCAGCGGAGTTGCTCATTGATTGTTTATCATTTTAAACTGGGAAAAGAGACCCTTAATACCAGATTTGGGACCACACAGCCACTCCACTGAATAGCAGGCTAGTGATTGCTTTGCAATGCTTGCAGTTAGGCACTGTCACTGATTCCTTCCAAACCACTCATTGTTGAATTTGCGATTTCCAACTTGTTGTGTTTATGTCCAATGGCCGATGAGCACCAATACATTTTATCTATAATTTCTCTTAATTATTTATCTTCATATGACAAGGATTAAAAAGGATTTGCCAGTAGATTGTCCACTTGATTCATGATGATGACTGCTAGCTAAGATTTTGAAAGTATGATGTTGACATGACCAGTCCAATCAAAGCTACTGTAGATATAACGTGATTTTACCTCATTTTATCTGTGGCCAATTACCTTGAGCCTTCTTGGATGGGCACTTCTAATGTAACTCTATGGCAGCACCCAAGGGGCTTGAATTTTCGAGCTCTACCTTTAGACTTGGTGGTGACCTAGTGTCCCCATGAGTGACAGAAAACTGAGCCAATCACGGCGCAACTAGAGAACATTACCAACCCCTACGCTCTGTATTTTCCGCTGGCTGACCCACCACCACAGAAAGCACTGAGCAAGCTGAAACGCCTGCATTTTGGAGCTGCGTTACTCAATAAAGCAAAAAAGAGACCATGTTTGTATGCAGCTTTATTAACTCTTTTTTTTTACTGGGACTGAAAGACTTTTCGTGGAGGAGTTGCATGGAGTATTGTGACAAGCCTTACCACCCTCTGAGGTCATAGAGCCTGAGAAGTGAGATATGGACGTTTGAAGGAAGAAGTGGGAGTTTTGGGATTTTGGTTTTGTTAATGTGGTTTGTTGTTGTTTTATTTTGGGTGGATTAAGTTCGTTTTTCCTATCACGTATGGGGTATTATTTTTACCTTGGTTTTTTCAACCCCGTCCAGTTGGTGGCGGTAATACACCTTTTGGGGTTGTAGTCTGCCATAAAACCCACAGAAGATTAAGAAGAAGAAGTTAGTCACTAACGCACTTAATAACATGAAAACAGTCTAGCTAACCAGATCTGCTAGGGCGAGTAAAATGGTCAGAGTGAGGTCTTCTCTCATTTGTTTCTGGAAGTAGCTAGACAACTTTAGCCAGTTGACTACCGTTGTGAGGTCAGAACGCTCGGATTAACCCTACTCCTCGGCCAGAGCGTCCAGTGTGCGCTCTGAATTTACGAACGGATAAAATGGACATCACCAGGACCTTGCTTTCGGCGCTTTAGCACCGAATGATTTTGGGTCAGCCCCTAATATTTTGCGCTGCTGCAATGGTGTAAAAACTGAATGCGCCACTTAGTTAATATGGTAACGTGAGACTTCCGAAATCATCCAACAGTTATAATCAGGGGTGAAGTGCTGCCGGCCGTGCTCAGCCGAGCGACGCTCCACAACTTCTCAGAATGGTGCTGTCTTCGAAAGATCACTTAATGATTAATTAGTATTCTACATAACAAACTGAATATATACCAAAAATACCATGTACTTTCTTATGACAATTTAGGACGACTGTGCAAAACATTTTTACAACCATTTCGCAACACCCGCAATAACATCTGTTGTAAAGTTAGATTTTATTTTAGAAAAAAAAAATTAGCATGCGGTGGTTGTGATTATTCCATCTGCTCAAAAAATCGATTAGGTAGGCCGGTTTGCCACCCTTACTTACATCCTTCAAGAAGATCGAAATGCATATTCACATGAAAGTGATTGTGATCAAATGGTTGGTATGCATGCAGCATGGACGTTTGACCTGTAAAACTTGAAGAATTGTCATTCATGATTGACGATGATGATGGCCTAATATATAATAAGGTAGGCCTTATAAATTAAAAAATATAACATTTTCCTTTAGTCACTTAGTGTGTGTAGGCTTAGGCAATCATGCAATTTGGATGATGCATTGTCTGTATATTCTAAAATGATAGGCTTTATGTCGGTACCAACTTTCATTCAGAAATGATGGCTTAATAATAATAATAAGAACATGGCACTATACCACTGGTTATAATACATATAAAACAATTGCCATGTGTGGTTAACTGATCATTCCAGCACCGTTTTGATTGTTACAGCATCATTTCGCTGCTTTGAGAAACACATGGGAACTCCTCTTGATAAATCTATCAATGTCAGATTTTTGTTTTCACTGAATCTCTGTTTGGATATTTGGTTACAATTAGACTGGGAAATGTTAGCTAAATTGAGGTGAGGGCTCATGTTCATTAGTCTACCAATTGAAAGCAATCTGGATATTCTCTACACACGCACACACACATTAGATTAGGCCTATAGCCTATTGATGACCTTCCCTGATGTTTTGCTGAATTTGCCTGATGCATTTCAGTCACTATGCCTACTGATGCGAATACACATTTGTACACTTTTCCCATAGGCTATTCAAGTCATTTGACATATTTATTTTGTTTAAAAAGGTCATAAGGCCTACATTGTTTCAATAATAGAGCTGAAAATACTATTGGCTTAATTGACATTGAATTTATTCTCGTAATTGTAGGCTAGTCTACTTGCTGATAGATTATTGTAAATATTATTGTAACAGTAGGCCTACCTACACTATAACCCCATATGGGGTTACTGACCACAGTCGATTAAATAAAAAATAAGAAGTGTTCATTAATTATTTTTTTCAATGGGGAGAGTGCAGTGCATGGAAAAAAAACAGCGCTGCGGGAAGGGGTTCTGGAAGTGCTGCAGATAAATTGAAATGCATTTGCCAAATTACATAATTACTCCTGTCTCTATAAATAAATGAAATCATTTTAGCCACAGAGGATCAATAGGATTTTTATTTATTTAAACGCTGTAGATTGTGTTTTGTCACATTATGAGCGCATAGTCTACAGTCGGAAATCCAGCAATTGGGCAGTCAGCAGGCAAATATAAAACAGCTGATTGTTGACTTGTGGCTGTCAATGTACAGCAGACAGCAGCTAGAAGGTATTTAGCAATTTTCCAAATACAATTGCGGGAAAAATCTGTTTGAATAAGTGAGTGTAAGTGTATTGATCTCAGTATGTAAATGTCAGAGTAGCTTGTCATTTTGATCATTTGTGTGGTATAAAAAATATTTTAAAGTCTCCAGTCATGTAAAATTATGTAGAATTGCAGGAAATTTTAGAAAAGGCCCTTTTTTTTCTCGGAACCACACACCCCTCAGCCCCTGGACTTCAGGATTGCGCCCCGAATGCCATGGAACTCTGGAGATGGCCCTGACTGACAATCTGACAACGCTCTGAATTTACGAACGGCACAGAGTGCACTGACATACTGAAGGCAAGACGTCATAACGTGCTCTGAGAGTTCTCAAGCGGCTGCTGAGTCAGCCACCCTTCGATCAGTCAGTATCAGACAGCATGTGTTCTCATTTGCTTGTAGGTTACTCAACTGTATAAAAATGACAATTTACAAGTGGAGTCAGCTATAAACGTTTACAGCTTTGAAATGTAATTTTAATTGACATAGACAAGTTCAACAATATAAGCCGCCTACTGCAACATTAGCGCCGTTATCTGCTTGATCTCTTGCAGTGCAAACTCTTGCCTGGAAAAGTACAGTCAAAAGTTTTGAGAATGACAAGTATTGGTCTTCACAAAGTTTGCTGCTTCAGGTGTTTTTCGATATTTTTGTCAGATGTTACTATGGTATACTGAAGTATAATTACAAGCATTCCATAAGTGTCAAAGGCTTTTATTGACAATTACATTAAGTTTATGCAAAGAGTCAATATTTGCAGTGTTGACCCTTCTTTTTCAAGACCTCTGCAATCCGCCCTGGCATGCTGTCAATTCTGGAAATGTTTTTTTGGGGGGATTAAGTTCATTTTCATGGCACAGAGGGACTTTGCAATTCATCTGATCACTCTTCATAACATTCTGGAGTATTTGCAAATTGCCATCATAAAAACTGAGGCAACAGTCTTTGTGAAAATTTATATTTGTGTAATTCTCAAAACTTTTGACCACGACTATAGACCCTCAACAATTATAGGGACATAGGGTTGAATAAATTCGCCATCCAAAGTTTGCAATAGTAAACTCCACATCCACGAGGAAAACAATTAGCCAGCTAGCAACTCCAGCAAAGTTTGCAAGTGCATTAACGTTTATTTGGCTGTAGGCTAATCACCCAACGGTAGACTATGCACATTTGCCAGCGATGCGTGTGTGAATCTGTTTGCTAGCCAGCTAAATTAGCGAACTTCACTTACCAGTAGACCGAAATGGCTTTCGTGATTATTATCCATAGTGTCCAGCATGCTGCTGGAAATATTCTCAATCCCTTGCTGAATGAAAATCGCCCACAATTCCAGTTCAATCAGAAGCTTAAACTAGCAACATCAAAACAACTTTGTAACGACAGACCCACCAGTGTTTTCCAATATGATCACCTGCGTATCGTCAGCTGTCGCACAGACAGGCAGACGGACTGACAGCCAGGAGCCAATATTATTAACCGTTAGGACATGCAGTTATCAGCTAAAATGCACGTTTATTCTGGATCACTCAACTTTCCTTTTATGAGTCTTGTTTGTATTGAGAGGAATATAGCTAGATATGTGTTGCTGTAGTCGTGGATGGATCAAAGGGACATATAAAAAGTGCGCGAGAGAAATTATCAAGAGGCCTTTTCGTCATAATTACCTGGAGAAATATGACCTGCAATTTGTAAACACAGCTGCTTTACTTATAATTAATAAAACCTTCATTTGGATCACTTTGAAATTCATCCTTCATCTATACATTTGGAGATATATTTGGGACTTACTGAGTCTGGCTTTAAAATAAAAACGAAGACATTTTGTGGTTGGAATTGCAGTATGTAGTTAGTTTGAGAGCCAGCCCCCCCCCCTTTCATCTATCTATCTGTAAAATACTAGAGACATGTACGTAAAATGCATTTTTGCCACATTTTTCTAAATAAAATGTTGTATATAATATACTGACAACATATCAATAAGTCCCTCTGGGCAAGTCTCGAGAATATATCGAAGGATAACCACAAAAAAGTTGGTGAATGCAGATGCTTCTGACGCTGAGGGAAATTTGTTGGTGTGTGGGAAGAGTCTGACTTTCGGGAAATGGCAGTTAAAAACAAAAACACTGAATTTAGACTACCAAACACCTATTTAAAGCTAATCACCATCTCCTCAAAGTAAGATACTACATAAAGTCCAGTTTGTTACATTCTCTATGAAATGGGCTTTTACATTATGTGTAATTGAGCTTTGAAATTATGGATGCATGTCCATTTTAAAGTGTTTAAAATTCATAACATTTTGATAACGCTAGTATGATAAACTAAAGAATATATACATTTTCATCGAGATTGACATTTATGTTTACTTTTTGAAAATACTAATGGACCAAAATACCAACAAATCTCAAAATTGATTGGCAGTTGCAAAAAAGTAATTTCAGCCTGTGGCGCCTGGCCTTAAAGGTGCTACATGCAGAATGTCTCACCCATGTGGAAGCTAGGTGAAATGCAACAACAACTAGGCTGTATTCCAAAGATTTACTGCCAACTGCAGTTATGGAATGCTTCCTTTACAAGTATAATTCATTGGCTGATCCCTCCTGGTGACCTGGATGGAATTATGTGATCCTTCCTTAACCCATACATTTTAACATTTTGGTCATTTAGCGGATGCTCTTATCCAGAGTGACTTACAAGAGCAATTAGGGTTAAGTGCCTTGCTCAAGGGCATAGACAGATTTTTCACCTATTCGGCTTGGGGAGTCGAACCAGCGACCATTCAGTTACTGGCCCAGCGCTCTTAACCGCTAGGCTACCAGTCGCCCATAGGAAGTCCCACCAAGTTGACTACTTCAAAAAAAAAATGAAAGTCCTCAATGGCGCTGCCCATGCTGAAACAGGCTTTTGGGGACTACAGTCCTCTATCTATCGCTATGGGACAACTAATTCTAGTGCCAGGGGATGTTTCCTGCTCTTAGTCTTGAGTCATATTCACTAGGAACGAATCAGAAGCAAACAGGCCAAAATGAGGAGGTATTACCTGAACTTGTGGAATCATGGTAGGAAGTTCAATCTATACATTTAAAAACAGGGAACTCCCAATCTAGCTGCTACATAAAATCACAGATAATTACATTAATTAAAGTGCAAAATAAACACATTTGTTGAGCTGCATTTAAACAAATAATGATTTTTTTGTAAACATTTAGAAAACAATCAAGGGCTGCATTATAATAATAATTTGTTGGGTGCTTATATTTTTTCTTATTTCACATTGGAAATTAGTTTTTTACATATCTCAACTCCCCCTGAGACACCCCCAGAGAGTGGGGTCATGGCAAAGGTCTGCCATTATCAATGGCGACCCTGGAGCAATTAGGGTTAAGTGCCTTGCTCATGGGCACATTGAAAGACTTATCACCTTGTTGACTCAGGGATTTGAACTAGCGACCTTTCGGTTACTGGCCAAACGCTCTAACCACTAGGCTACCTGTAGCATTGTTACAATGCTTTTGCATTGATCTGTGCAGAATGAAACGATTATTATTGGCTGCCATCTAGAAACTGTATGTTTGTGTGTGTTAGAGCTGAGCTGTGGTAGCCAGATGTAGCATCTCATGTAGGGAGGTAACCAGGTTCTGGAACAGGGTCTCTGCATCCGTCTCTGGACTGGACTTCCACGCCGAACAGGAAGCCACAATCCTGAAACAGGATGTACAAGTCAGACACCAGAAGCTTCAAGAGGTTAATACAATCAGGCCATCATAGAGAGGACAGATGTACTAACGACAAACTACAAATTCTACTAACTACATGTTAGACCAAATAGCAGAAATAACAACTGTTCAAAATCAAATTGAATCAAAGTTTAGCAGATGTAATAGCGGGTGCAGTGATATGCTTTTGTTACTAGCTCCTAACAATGCAATAAAATGTCAAACAAGTCCACAATAATCATTGTCCAGGTCTTGTGTGTGTGTGTGTGTGTGTGTGTGTGTGTGTGTGTGTGTGTGTGTGTGTGTGTGTGTGTGTGTGTGTGTGTGTGTGTGTGTGTGTGTGTGTGTGGGGGGGGGGGGGGGGGTGTTAGATTAATTTGTATTTTAAGAATAATGACTAAAGGATTTCACCCCAAATACAGTATAAATGTGTGAACGGTGTTAAAGTTATAATGTAGTGGCAACCCACTAACAGAGGGGGGCGGGACTAAACATTCCAGGGTGAAGGGGACTGAGAAAACGCCAGAGCTCTCCATGAATAAAAATACAGATCATTCTTGCTGGTTGTGGACCTTGAATCATTTATGATTAAAACCAGAGCCTTACAACCTCTGGTAATGATTCAAGCTTAGGTTGAATTAGAGATAGAAATTCTCGTGACAGTGGGTGTGTTAGCCCACCTGTCATCTCTGATGCAGTAGAAGAACCCATAGCCATTGTGCACCATGGGAGCGCCCACCCCATGAACTGTGGAGTAGCCAGCCAGACTGGTGGACAGGGTAAAGTTACCGCCCCCGCCACTGGAGAGAGAACACACACACATTACACATACCATAAACACACACACACACACAAACCTCTTGGAATACAGTGGATCAGTGAAAAGGTCTGGCATAGGAAGTCCCTCCTCCTTGGCGATCAGGTACAGGCCCAGGAGATGTCTGTCAAAACCTTTTCCGTTCTGTGCCTCGGCCATCAGTTTGTTGTGCTTGTTGAAGGCCAGCAGCAGGGCTTTCCTCTTAGCCTCAGCCTGGGAGACACACAGAAAGTCAGAGTGTAAGTAGCCTGGTCGCCAGATTTACATGTATGGCATGACAATGAATGAAGAACTAACTGGTTTATTGGACACACACAAACTCTCACACTTACGCTGGCTACAGGGTTGAGCATGATGCGGCACCAGTTCTGTGCTTCCAGGGTACAGGGCCTCATGGTCTCAGTCCTGCCGTGGTAGAACCTTCTGGTCATCGCTGTCTCATAGCAACTACCTGACCTAGGACGGGGGATTATCATCAATCATCAGTTATGGAGAGACTATTGGGGGGAAGGATGGATGAATGGATGGGTGGATGTTGGGTGTGTGGTGGATGGATGAATTGGATGGATGATGGGTGGTGTTACCTCCCATGCTGTCTGTAATAAGCCAGTTGAAGGGCCAGTTGTATGAAGGTGTCTGGGTGGAGCTTCCTCTGTTTGATAGCTGCTTTCCCAAACGAGGTGAAGGCATAACACACCACCTGCAAGTCCTGGGTCTGGAGACACACACACAGGTCTGTCAAACCAGATATCACACACAGATTAGAGTTGTGTGTGTGAGGTGGGGAGTGTAAGGACCTCTGAGGGTGTGTGTTAGACAGCTGCGGCCCAGACAGAAAATTCACAGTCTGCATTTCTCATGCTGCTGGCGGTCAGACAAACAACTTTGGAATGATTTTTTTTGGGGGGTCCCACAGATTATTTAGAATGGTTGTCTTTCTGTTTTTTAAAAGCTCCTCTTTGTCAGACTATTCACTAACCTGTTTCTTAGGCAATGTTTTGCACATTTTGATCTTGCCTAGGGTGGCAGAATTGCCTAGGGTGGCAGAATTGCCTAGGGTGGCAGAATTGCATAACATACACCTAAAATAACATTGGGGACTGTAGGCGTGTTCGGGACCAGTTCTTGAGGGAGCGGATGGGAGTCGGACAAGAAGACAGTCCTGCACAGACTTCTGTTTGTGCGCGATCAACACAACCTAATCTGACCACTAGGGGGAAGCAGAGAAATGAATGGAAGATGTGTGTGTGTGTGTGTGTGTGTGTTTGTGGACTCACAGTCTCAAAGTACTGTTGCTTGGCATGTGCAATGTCACTCCTGACTCTGTCATCCACAGTGAAGACCAACTCTTCAGGAAGAGGCATAGGCCGCACTGTCTCAGAGCCCTACACAGACATCAAAAAATATACTGTTTGCTTACAGTGAAAGTAAGGTACTTGGAATTAAGGTTACCAGAACCATGCCTTCAAATGGGGCATGCTGCAACACACACACACAAACAGCAATTACCATAGATAGGAGCACGCTCACAACAAAACATCATTACACTACTGCCAACAGAGGAGTATTGTTATCTCCAACCTCTCTCTCAACACAAACACAAACACACACAGTAACTCACGTCACAGTTGGATCCGAAGGTTCCGTCGGCGATGGAGTTGTAGGATTTGTCTCCCCAGTGGATGGTGGGGTCTCCTATCAGCACCTCCAGGGACACCTGGGGGCAAAGGCCAAAGGTCATATTATACCACACTTAGGATGGTATGGTTGCCTGTGGTGTATGTGTGTGTGTGTTGTAGGGGCCAACCAGGACATAAGACTACGACCCAGATGTCATATCCTCACATATCTTTACTTACAATCAAAACACGTGTAACCTGCTTAATTGCTTACACATAACTTAAAAAGATCTCACTCTCTGTACTGGACAATATCACAAAGCGGCAAAAGTCTCACTGCTCTCATTGTTTAACTGAAAGTTTGCTTTTTAGCCTCTGGTGCTATTATCCTTTGCATTTTACTTCGACCGCATCCTGGACTCTGCTCATTTACCTTTACAAAGTCAACTTACTATTGCAAATTTACGTCTACAGTGTGTGAGAGGTTGTGCGTGTGTGTGTACGTACCGGTGTGTAGTTCTCTGCAGTAGCGTAGGGTTTAGCATCGTCCAGTGAGACCACAAACAGACTGCTCTGGATGGTCTCTAAGAGGGTCTTATTGGCTGGATCTATACCTATCAGATACTCCCTGGCCTACAGACAGACAGAGACAGATGAGAGAGAGAGACAGAGACAGACGAGAGAGAGAGAGAGAGACAGACGAGAGAGACAGAGACAGACGAAAGAGAGAGAGACAGACGAGAGACAGACGAGAGAGAGACAGACGAGAGAGAGAGAGAGAGACAGACGAGAGAGAGAGAGAGAGACAGACGAGAGAGAGAGAGAGAGACAGACGAGAGAGAGAGAGAGACAGACGAGAGAGAGAGAGACGGACGAGAGAGAGAGAGACGGACGAGAGAGAGAGAGAGAGAGAGAGAGAGAGAGAGACAGATGAGAGAGAAGAGAGAGAGAGACAGACGAGAGAGACAGAGACAGACGAGAGAGAGAGAGACGGACGAGAGAGAGACAGACGAGAGAGAGAGACGGATGAGAGAGAGAGAGAGACAGAGACAAATGAGAGAGCGACGAGAGAGAGACGAGAGACAGACGAGAGAGCGAGAGACAGAGACAGACGAGAGAGAGAGAGAGAGAGAGAGAGAGAGAGAGAGAGAGAGAGAGAGAGAGAGAGAGACGACGAGGAGACGAGAGAGAGAGAGAGACGGACGAGAGAGAGAGAGAGACAGACGAGAGAGAGAGACAGACGAGAGAGAGAGAGACACAGAGACAGACGAGAGAGAGAGACACAGAGACAGATGAGAGAGAGAGAGACAGAGACAGACGAGAGAGATAGACGAGAGAGAGAGAGAGAGAGACACAGAGACAGACGAGAGAGAGAGAGACGGAGACAGACGAGAGAGAGAGAGACATTTTATGGCATGGTGATGTCTGTTCTATACATCCAACTTCACACACACCTTAACCCAGCGTGTCCTCTCCTCTGAGGTGAGAGCGGCGACTCCATCTCCTGCTGGCTCCCCCTCACAACACTGCTTCACATAGGTCAGCTGCCTACACACGCCACAAACACACACACACAAATACTGATACATACACGCAAAGGCATATAAATACATGCAAATATATGCAGATGCACATAAATATACCTAAATATCCACCGGCCAGCATACCTGAGCAGCTCTGGAGGGGTAAGAATGTGTCCGTCACACACTGCATCAAATGAGAAGAAACGGCCCTTACACATCACCACCACATGGGAGGGGCATGGACCCTCGCTCTCTACAACACACAGAAAAAACACATCTATACATACACAAAATGTATAAATCCACACACACACACACATACAGTTGAAGTTGGAAGTTTACATACACCTTAGCCAAATACATTTAATCCTAGTAAAAGTTCCCTGTTTTAGGTAAGTTAGTTATGTGTGCCTTGAATTCTAAATAAAGCACCATCACACCTACTCCTCCATGCTTCACGTGGGAACCACACATGCGGAGATCATCCATTCACCTACTCTGTGTCTCACAAAGACACAGCGGTTGGAACCAAAAATCTCAAATTTGGACTCATCAGACCAAAGGACAGATTTCCACCGGTCTAATGTCCACCTACCTGTCTTAAAGTAGTTGATGATGGTATCCTTGGTGACTCCAGGAACTTTGCATGTACAGAACAGCATTCTGAACTGGTCCATATCCAACACCACATTACCGTTCTTATGAGGGTCCAGCCTCTCCCTGTCGGAGATAACACAGTTAGAGAGTGTGTGTACTGAACATACGTAGGTGTGTGTGTTTTATTTTATTTTATTTTATTTCACCTTTATTTAACCAGGTAAGCCAGTTGAGAACAAGTTCTCATTTACAACTGCGACCTGGCCAAGATAAAGCATAGCAGTGCGATAAAAACAACAACACAGAGTTACATATGGGGTAAAAAAACATAAAGTCAAAAAATACAACAGAAAATATATATACAGTGTGTGCAAATGTAGCAAGTTATGGAGGTAAGGCTATAGTGCAAAATAATTGCAATTAGTATTAACACTGGAATACTAGATGTGCAAGAGATTATGTGCAAATAGAGATACTGGGGTGCAAAAGAGCAAAATAAATAACAATATAGGGATGAGGTAGTTGGGTGGGCTAATTTCAGATGGGCTGTGTACAGGTGCAGTGATCGATAAGGTGCTCTGACAACTGATGCTTAAAGTTAGTGAGGGAGATAAGAGTCTCCAGCTTCAGAGATTTTTGCAATTCGTTCCAGTCATTGGCAGCAGAGAACTGGAAGGAATGGCGGCCAAAGGAGGTGTTGGCTTTGGGAATGACCAGTGAGATATACCTGCTGGAGCGCAGACTACGGGTGGGTGCTGCTATGGTGACCAATGAGCTAAGATAAGGCGGGGATTTGCCTAGCAGTGATTTATAGATGGCCTGGAGCCAGTGGGTTTGACGACGAACATGTAGTGAGGACCAGCCAACAAGAGCGTACAGGTCACAGTGGTGGGTAGTGTATGGGGCTTTGGAGACAAAACGGATGGCACTGTGATAGACTACATCCAATTTGCTGAGTAGAGTGTTGGAGGCTATTTTGTAAATGACATCGCCGAAGTCAAGGATCGGTAGGATAGTCAGTTTTACGAGGGCATGTTTGGCAGCATGAGTGAAGGAGGCTTTGTTGCGAAATAGGAAGCCGATTCTAGATTTAATTTTGGATTGGAGATTCTTAATGTGAGTCTGGAAGGAGAGTTTACAGTCTAACCAGACACCTAGGTATTTGTAGTTGTCCAAATACTCTAGATCAGACCCGTCGAGAGTGGTGATTCTAGTCGGGTGGGCGGGTGCCAGCAGCGTTCGATTGAAGAGCATGCATTTAGTTTTACTAGAGTTTAAGAGCAGTTGGAGGCTACTGAAGGAGTGTTGTATGGCATTGAAGCTCGTTTGGAGGTTTGTTAACACAGTGTCCAATGAAGGGCCAGATGTATACAAAATGGTGTCGTCTGCGTAGAGGTGGATCTGAGAGTCACCAGCAGCAAGAGCGACATCATTGATATACACGGAGAAAAGAGTCGGCCCAAGAATTGAACCCTGTGGCACCCCCATAGAGACTGCCATAGGTCCAGACAACAGGCCCTCCGATTTGACACACTGAACTCTATCTGAGAAGTAGTTGGTGAACCAGGTGTGTGTGTGTGTGTGTGTGTGTGTCTGTCTTACGTGCGGAGCAGGTCCCAGTATTGTAGAGTGTGCCACATGCTTATGCTATTCCTCTGTAGCTGTACTCCCTCTGTAGGGGGCCAGCAGTGCTCTAGGTAGGGTGCAGGACCTCCGAAGTTCACATTCAACTGGGAGGGGTAACGCAATTCCAGATAGGCTGCATCCAGCCACCACTCCTCCAACTGGGGGTCAACACACACACAATAAAGATGAAACACTGCAGGGGAACACCGTAATGACTAGTATTTAAAACACTCAAAGTTTCCCTTTTACAGTTGCTCAGGGTCGAGCATGGTGTGTGCCCAGTTCTCCCAGGTTCTAGCTGTGCAGTGTGTTGTGTATGTGTGTGTGTGTGTTTGTTGAGTGTGTGTACCCAGTTCCTGTGAGTCCTGCCTCTCTGCAGTAGTTTTTGGTGCAGGTCTTTGCCGATGCCCTCTCCAAACCTCTTCAATATGGCCGCAGTCACCTGGTACTCCTCCTCTGTAGCAAACGGCCGCACTGGAACACACACACAGACATTTCAGTTACTCGACAAACACACATGGTTCAGGGTCCAGGCTAACGGTGCTTCTCGTTCACACATGCAGCTGGCTTCTCAACGGCATCCAGGTACTTGGCGAGGCTCCCCTCTAGAGACGGTACAGGGAGAGGAGGCAGTCTATGCTGGTACTGAAATGTCCGCTCAGCGGGGGACTCTGACACCTGGTTGGCCATGTTGTCACCTACAGCACCAAAACACCTGGTTAGCCATGTTGTCACATACAGCACCAAAACACCTGGTTGGCCATGTTGTCACATACAGCACCAAAACACCTGGTTAGCCATGTTGTCACATACAGCACCAAAACACCTGGTTAGCCATGTTGTCACATACAGCACCAAAACACCTGGTTAGCCATGTGGTCACATACAGCACCAAAACACCTGGTTAGCCATGTGGTCACCTATAGCACCAAAACACCTGGTTAGCCATGTGGTCACATACAGCACCAAAACACCTGGTTGGCCATGTTGTCACCTACAGCACCAAAACACCTGGTTAGCCATGTTGTCACATACAGCACCAAAACACCTGGTTAGCCATGTGGTCACCTACAGCACCAAAAGACCTGGTTAGCCATGTTGTCACATACAGCACCAAAACACCTGGTTGGCCATGTTTTCACCTACAGCACCAAAACACCTGGTTAGCCATGTTGTCACATACAGCACAAAAACACCTGGTTAGCCATGTGGTCACCTACAGCATCAAAACACCTGGGGCCTCATTTATCAATGCGTAGGCACAAATCTGTGCGTAAAACCATGTGTGGGATCAGGAAGTCCAGGATCCAGTTGCAGAGGGAGGTGTTCAGTCCCAGGGTCCTAAGCTTGGTGACAAGCTTGGAGGGGACAGAAAATAGTATGTGTGGGGTACAGAGATTAGGTAGTCATTCAGAAATCATGTTAAACACTGTTATTGCACACCAGTGGTGGTCGGTGCCGATTAAGATGAGGGAGGATTATAATTGTTTTAATGAGCATGGCCTTATTTCTATTAAAGCATATTGGATGACTGTCATTCATATTCCATTCACCCAGCTCAATGTAACATTGATAGGTTAAGGCTACTACATGATACTCACATTTTTCCTGTACCTATCATGAGGTTGCTACAACCTAGCCTATGAATGAAAGTTTACAACGTAGGTGCACAGGTCGAGAGAATTTTGAGTAATCAAGGTGACAAACAGTGACACATTCAATACTGCCTTGCACAATCTTGCCTGCATTTAACTGATCTATGGCGTAATCATTAGTCCAACAGTTGCAAATGAGAGTTTCTATTGAACAAACTCAGGTATTTGTTTATCCCTGTTTCCTTCCGTTTTAAGAATTTTTTTCTCCACAGAATCGGCGGAATGAATACACCCCTGATCACACGCAAACACAGTTCACTTTCATAGCAACCACATAAAAACAGCATGATCACTTTGCTCGTTGTGTATATATATATATATACAGTGAGGGGAAACTGTATATTTGATCCCCTGCTGATTTTGTACGTTTGCCCACTGACAAAGACATGATCAGTCTATAATTTTAATGGTAGGTTTATTTGAACAGTGAGAGACAGAATAACAACAAAAAAATCGAGAAAAACGCATGTCAAAAATATTATAAATTGATTTGCATTTTAATGAGGGAAATAAGTACTTGACCCCTCTGCAAAACATGACTTAGTACTTGGTGGCAAAACCCTTGTTGGCAATCACAGAGGTCAGACGTTTCTTGTAGTTGGCCACCAGGTTTGCACACATCTCAGGAGGGATTTTGTTCCACTCCTCTTTGCAGATCTTCTCCAAGTCATTAAGGTTTCGAGGCTGATGTTTGGCAACTCGAACCTTCAGCTCCCTCCACAGATTTTCTATGGGATTAAGGCCTGGAGACTGGCTAGGCCACTCCAGGACCTTAATGTGCTTCTTCTTGAGCCACTCCTTTGTTGCCTTGGCCGTGTGTTTTGGGTCATTGTCATGCTGGAATACCCATCCACGACCCATTTTCAATGCCCTGGCTGAGGGAAGGAGGTTCTCACCCAAGATTTGACGGTACATGGCCCCGTCCATCGTCCCTTTGATGCGGTGAAGTTGTCCTGTCCTCTTAGCAGAAAAACACCCCCAAAGCATAATGTTTCCACCTCCATGTTTGACGGTGGGGATGGTGTTCTTGGGGTCATAAGCAGCATTCCTCCTCCTCCAAACATGGCGAGTTGAGTTGATGCCTAAGAGCTCCATTTTGGTCTCATCTGACCACAACACTTTCACCCAGTTCTCCTCTGAATCATTCAGATGTTCATTGGCAAACTTCAGACGGCCCTGTATATGTGCTTTCTTGAGCAGGGGGACCTTGCGGGCACTGCAGGATTTCAGTCCTTCACGGCGTAGTGTGTTACCAATTGTTTTCTTTGTGACTATGGTCCCAGCTGCCTTGAGATCATTGACAAGATCCTCCCGTGTAGTTCTGGGCTGATTCCTCACCGTTCTCATGATCATTGCAACTCCACGAGGTGAGATCTTGCATGGAGCCCCAGGCCGAGGGAGATTGACAGTTATTTTGTGTTTCTTCCATTTGCGAATAATCGCACAAACTGTTGTCACCTTCTCACCAAGCTGCTTGGCGATGGTCTTGTAGCCCATTCCAGCCTTGTGTAGGTCTACAATCTTGTCCCTGACATCCTTGGAGAGCTCTTTGGTCTTGGCCATGGTGGAGAGTTTGGAATCTGATTGATTGATTGCTTCTGTGGACAGGTGTTATTTATACAGGTAACAAACTGAGATTAGGAGCACTCCCTTTAAGAGTGTGCTCCTAATCTCAGCTCGTTACCTGTATAAAAGACACCTGGGAGCCAGAAATCTTTCTGATTGAGAGGGGGTCAAATACTTATTTCCCTCATTAAAATGCAAATCAATTTATAACATTTTTGACATGCGTTTTTCTGGATCGTTTTGTTGTTATTCTGTCTCTCACTGTTCATATGAACCTACCATTAAAATTATAGACTGATAATTTCTTTGTCAGTGGGCAAACGTACAAAATCAGCAGGGAATCAAATACTTTTTTCCCTCACTGTATATATATATATATATATATATATACAGTTGAAGTCGGAAGTTTACATACACCTTAGCCAAATACATTTAAACTCAGTTTTTCACAATTCCTGACATTTAATCCTAGTAAAAATTCCCTGTCTTAGGTCAGTTAGGATCACCACTTTATTTTAAGAATGTGAAATGTCAGAATAATAGTAGAGAGAATGATTTATTTCAGCTTTTATTTATTTCATCACATTCCCAGTGGGTCAGAAGTTTACATACACTCAATGAGTATTTGGTAGCATTGCCTTTAAATTGTTTAACTTGGGTCAAACATTTTGGGTAGCCTTCCACAAGCTTCCCACAATAAGTTGGGTGAATTTTGGCCCATTCCTCCTGACAGAGCTGGTGTAACTGAGTCAGGTTTGTAGGCCTCCTTGCTCGCACACGCTTTTTCAGTTCTGCCCACACATGTTCTACAGGATTGAGGTCAGGGCTTTGTGATGGCCACTCCAATACCTTGACTTTGTTGTCCTTAAGCCATTTTGCCACAACTTTGCAAGTATGCTTGGGGTCATTGTCCATTTGGAAGACCCATTTGCGACCAAGCTTTAACTCCCTGACTGATGTCTTGAGATGTTGCTTCAATATATCCATATAATTTTCCTTCCTCATGATGCCATCTATTTTGTGAAGTGCACCAGTCCCTCCTGCAGCAAAGCACCCCCACAGCATGATGCTGCCACCGCCGTGCTTCACGGTTGGGATGGTGTTCTTCGGCTTGCAAGCAACCCCTTTTTCCTCCAAACATAACGATGGTCATTATGGCCAAACAGTTCTATTTTTGTTTCATTAGACCAGAGGACATTTCTCAAAAAAGTACGATCTTTGTCCCCCATGTGCAGTTGCAAACCGTAGTCTGGCTTTTTTATGGCGGTTTTGGAGCAGTGGCTTCTTCCTTGCTGAGCGGCCTTTCAGGTTATGTTGATATAGGACTCGTTTTACTGTGGATATAGATACTTTTGTACCTGTTTCCTCCAGCATCTTCACAAGGTCTTTTGCTGTTGTTATGGGATTGATTTGCACTTTTCGCACCAAAGTACGTTCATCTCTAGGAGACAAAACGCGTCTCCTTCCTGAGCGGTATGACGGCTGTGTGGTCCCATGGTGGTTGTACTTGCGTACTATTGTTTGTACAGATGAACGTGGTAACTTCAGGCATTTGGAAATTGCTCCCAAGGATGAACCAGACTTGTGGAGGTCTACAATTCTTTTTCTGAGGTCTTGGCTGATTTATTTTGATTTTCCCATGATGTCAAGCAAAGAGGCACTGAGTTTGAAGGTAGGCCTTGAAATACATCCACAGGTACACCATCAATTTACTCAAATGATGTCAATTAGCCTATCAGAAGCTTCTAAAGCCATGACATTATTTTCTGGAATTTTCCAAGCTGTTTAAAGGCACAGTCAATTTAGTGTATGTAAACTTCTGACCCACTGGAATTGTGATACAGTGAATTATAAATGAAATAATCTGTCTGTAAACAATTGTTGGAAAAATTACTTGTCATGCACAAAGTAGATGTCCTAACCAACTTGCCAAAACGATAGTTTGTTAATAAGAAATTTGTGGAGTGGTTGAAAAACAAGTTTTAATGACTCCAACCTAAGTGTATGTAAACTTCCGACTTCAACTGTATATATATATATATACAGTGGGGAGAACAAGTATTTGATACACTGCCGATTTTGCAGGTTTTCCTACTTACAAAGCATGTAGAGGTCTGTAATTTTTTATCATAGGTACACTTCAACTGTGAGAGACGGAATCTAAAACAAAAATCCAGAAAATCACATTGTATGATTTTTAAGTAATTCATTTGCATTTTATTGCATGACATAAGTATTTGATCACCTACCAACCAGTAAGAATTCCGGCTCTCACAGACCTGTTAGTTTTTCTTTAAGAAGCCCTCCTGTTCTCCACTCATTACCTGTATTAACTGCACCTGTTTGAACTCGTTACCTGTATAAAAGACACCTGTCCACACACTCAATCAAACAGACTCCAACCTCTCCACAATGGCCAAGACCAGAGAGCTGTGTAAGGACATCAGGGATACAATTGTAGACCTGCACAAGGCTGGGATGGGCTACAGGACAATAGGCAAGCAGCTTGGTGAGAAGGCAACAACTGTTGGCGCAATTATTAGAAAATGGAAGAAGTTCAAGATGACGGTCAATCACCCTCGGTCTGGGGCTCCATGCAAGATCTCACCTCGTGGGGCATCAATGATCATGAGGAAGGTGAGGGATCAGCCCAGAACTACATGGCAGAACCTGGTCAATGACCTGAAGAGAGCTGGGACCACAGTCTCAAAGAAAACCATTAGTAACACACTACGCCGTCATGGATTAAAATCCTGCAGCGCACGCAAGGTCCCCCTGCTCAAGCCAGCGCATGTCCAGGCCCGTCTGAAGTTTGCCAATGACCATCTGGATGATCCAGAGGAGGAATGGGAGAAGGTCATGTGGTCTGATGAGACACAAATAGAGTTTTTTGGTCTAAACTCCACTCGCCGTGTTTGGAGGAAGAAGAAGGATGAGTACAACCCCAAGAACACCATCCCAACCGTGAAGCATGGAGGTGGAAACATCATTCTTTGGGGATGCTTTTCTGCAAAGGGGACAGGACGACTGCACCGTATTGAGGGAAGGATGGATGGGGCCATGTATCGCGAGATCTTGGCCAACAACCTCCTTCCCTCAGTAAGAGCATTGAAGATGGGTCGTGGCTGGGTCTTCCAGCATGACAATGACCCGAAACACACAGCCAGGGCAACTAAGGAGTGGCTCCGTAAGAAGCATCTCAAGGTCCTGGAGTGGCCTAGCCAGTCTCCAGACCTGAACCCAATAGAAATTCTTTGGAGGGAGCTGAAAGTTCGTTTTGCCCAGCGACAGCCCCGAAACCTGAAGGATCTGGAGAAGGTCTGTATGGAGGAGTGGGCCAAAATCCCTGCTGCAGTGTGTGCAAACCTGGTCAAGACCTACAGGAAACATATGATCTCTGTAATTGCAAACAAAGGTTTCTGTACCAAATATTAAGTTCTGCTTTTCTGATGTATCAAATACTTATGTCATGCAATAAAATGCAAATTAATTACTTAAAAATCATACAATGTGATTTTCTGGATTTGTGTTTTAGGTTCCGTCTCTCACAGTTGAAGTGTACCTATGATAAAAATTACAGACCTCTACATGCTTTGTAAGTAGGAAAACTTGCATAATCGGCAGTGTATCAAATACTTGTTCTCCCCACTGTATATATATACACACACTACCAGTCAAAGGTTTGGACACACCTACTCATTGAAGGGTTTTTCTTTATTTTTACTATTCTTTACATTGTAGAATACTGTGGGCTCTCATTCTCCGTGGCCGACGTGAGTAAGACATTTAAGCATGTTAATCCTCGCAAGGCTGCCGGCCCAGACGGCATCCCTAGCCCCGTCCTCAGAGCATGTGCAGACCAGCTGGCTGGTCCCTCCCCCAGTCTGCTGTCCCCACTTGCTTCAAGATGTCCACCATTGTTCCTGTACCCAAGAAAGCAAAGGTAACTGAACTAAATGAATATCGCTCCGTAGCACCCACTTCTGTCATCATGAAGTGCTTTGAGAGGCTAGTTAAGGATAATATCACCTCTATCTTACCTGACACCCTAGACCCACTTCAATTTGCTTATCGCCCCAATAGATCCACAGACTATGCAATCGCCATTGCACTGCACACTGCCCTATCCCATCTGGACAAGAGGAATACCTACGTCAGAATGCTGTTCATTGACTATAGCTCAGCCTTCAACACCATAGTACCCTCCAACCTCATCATTAAGCTTGGGCCCTGGGTCTGAACCCCGCCCTGTGCAACTGGGTCCTGGACTTCCTGACGGGCCGCCCCCCAGGTGGTGAAGGTAGGAAACACTTCCACTTCGCTGATCCTCAACACAGGGGACCCACAAGGGTGCGTGCTCAGCCCCCTCCTGTACTCCCTACTCACCCATGACTGCGTGGCCACACACGAGGCCTCAATCATCAAGTTTGCAGACGACACAACAGTAGTAGGCCTGATTACCAACAATGATGAGACAGCCTACAGGGAGGAGGTGAGGGCCCTGGCAGAGTGGGGCCAGGAAAATAACCTCTCCTTCAACGTCAACAAAACGAAGGAGCTGATCGTGGACTTCAGGAAACAGCAGAGGGAGCACACCCCCATCCACATCGACGAGACCGCAGTGGAGACGGTGGAAAGCTTCAGGTTCCTTGGCGTGCACATCACTGACAATCTGAAATGGTCTACCCACACAGACAGTGTGGTGAAGAAGGCGCAACTGCGCCTCTTCAATCTCAGGAGGCTGAAGAAATTCAGCTTGGCCCCCAAGACCCTCAAACTTTTACAGATGCACAATTGAGAGCTTCCTGTCGGGCTGTATCACCACCTGGTAAGGCAACTGCACCGCCCGCAACCGCAGGGCTCTCCAGAGGGTGGTACGGTCTGCCCAACGCATCAGCCGGGGGCACACTGCCTGCCCTCCAGGACACCTACAGCACCCGATGTCACAGGAACCACGGCCTGTCATCCAGAAGGCGAGGTCAGTACAGGTGCATCAAAGCTGGGACCGAGAGAATAAAAAACAGCTTCTATCTCAAGGTCATCAGACTGTTAAATAGCCATCACTAGCTGGCTACCACCCGGTTACTCAACCCTGCACCTTAGAGGCTGCTGCCCTATATACATAGACATGGAATCACTGGCCACTTTAAATAATGGAACACTAGTCACTTTAATAATGTTTACATACTGCTTTACTCATCTCATATGTATATACTGTATTTTATTATACTGTATTTAGTCAATGCCAATCCGACATTGCTCATCCTAATATTTATATATTTCTTAATTCCATTATTTTACTTTTAGATTTGTGTATTGTTAGACACTACTGCACTGTCGGAGCTAGGAACACAAGCATTCCACTACACCCGCAATAACATCTGCTAAATATGTGTATGTGACCAATAAAATGTTATTTGATATAAATAATCTGGCTCCATAACCATATGATCAAACATAGTTAGCTAGCCAGTTCTGCTTTCTGCAGAAACAAGTACACTAACAGGCCCTCGTATTGCTTTCACCCTTCAGAAAGTATTCATACCCCTTAACTTATTCCACATTTTGTTACAGCCTAAATTCAAAATGGATTAAATATGTTTTACCCATCTACACACACACAATACCCCATAATGACAAAGTGAAAACATGTTTTTAGAATTTGCAAATTTATTGAAAAAGGAATACAGAAATCTAATTTACGTAAGTATTCACACCCCTTTGCTATGACACTCCAAATCAGCTCAGGTGCATCCAATTTCCTTTGCTCATCCTTGAGTCCACTTGTGGCCAATTCAATTGTTTGGACCTGATTTAGAAAGAAACACACATGTTTATATAAGGTCCCACAGTTGACAGTGCATGTCAGAGCAGAAACTATACCATGAAGTCGAAGGAACTGTCTGTACATCTCCGAGATAGAATTGTGATGAGGCATATATCTGGGGAAGGGTATAAAACTATTTCTAGAGTGTTGAAAGTTTCCAAGAGCACAGTGGTCTCCATCATTGGGAAATGGAAAACATTTGGAACTACCCAGACTCTGCCTAAACTGACCGTTCGACCAAACTAAGCAAGCAGGCAAGAATGACCACTGACAGAACTAGAGTTCCTTGGCTGAGATGGGAGAACCTGCCAGAAAGCACAAGAGTCTCTACAACACTTCACCAATCTGGGCTTTATGGGAGAGTGGCCAGACTGAAGCCACTCCTGATTAAAAAAGGCACATGACAGCAAGCATGGAGTTTGCAAAAAGGCAAACGGGCCAAAATGGTGAGGCAGTACCTGAACTTGCCCAATAACAAACGCTTGTTTCATTATTGGTTACAAAACGTTTTGCTACGGTGTGCACTAATGAATACAACCTTTGTCTCTCTGTCCACCCAGCTCTCCAACAGCAGTGCCTTCAACTAGTCTGTCCTGTAGGCCTCTGCTAGTGACTACCTCCTCTTCCTCTCCCCCCCCTCTTCCTCTTCCTTTACTACTCCCCATCATCTTCTCCTCCTCTGGGTCACTCTCTCGCTGCCTCTCCTCCTCCTCAGGATCATCATTGCACTGGCGCTTCCTCTTCCTCTGTTTCTCCTCCACTCTCTTTGCTCCCTCTCCTCCAGCCCACATCTCCCACTCAGTCCAGAAGGTTATCTCTACCTGATGCCGAGGCTTCCTCTGCCCCACCTCCCCTCCCTCCTGCACAGTCCTGCCATCTGTCTCCCCCCTCTCCCCAACTCCTGGTCCTTCATCAGGGTCCAGCCCTGAGTCTGGGCTGTGGTAGCGTCTGACGTGGTTCTTGAGGCTGACGTTGTGGTTGAAGCTCTTGTCACAGCGCTGGCATTGGAAGGGCCTCTCCCCAGTGTGGACACGCAGGTGGGACTTCAGCTGGCTGAGCTGGGCAAAGGCACGCTGGCACACCTGGCACCCAGGAAAGAGCAACATGGACCATGTAAATACAATCATTCCGGTTTAAATAAAAATGGAAAGCTTCTTGTTTATAGTAAATAGCCCTCTTCAAAATAAGTAATTGAAACAGACACTTCAGTTGCATGTAATTGAAACCCTGCCCCTCCCTCCAGACCTGGCACTTGAAGGGCTTGTCGTCACTGTGGGACAGCTCATGCCTCTCCAGGAGGTGACCTTTGGCGAATTCCTTGTAACATGTGTGACAGATGTGTCTCTTGGACTCATGCTCTCTGAGATGGCGATTCCGTATGAGGATGTTGTCAAACTTCAGTGGGCACTCTGAGCAGCTGTAGCATCTGTGACCTTTTAATCTTTTGAATCTGTGGGTCTTCTCGTGGGTCAGCTTGTCCGGCCGCGTCCTGAAGGATTGGAGGCAGAACTTACAGGGAAACTTAAGGTCCTGACGGTGTAGCCTCCGGTGCTGCTTGAGGCCGAGTTCACTCGCACAACCCTGCCCACAGTCTGGACAGCGGACCACGAACTTGTGTTCACACTTATGGTGTTTCAGCCTGGTGGTGTACAGGACGCCACATTCAGGACAGAGGACCATATTATGTTTTTTGGAGTATTTGAATTTCTGCCGGATGCTGGCAACGTTTCCAGAGCCCAGTTCTCCAGCGGCACCGCTGAATGACTCCTGGTCCTGCTGGTCTCTCTGGGGTGATGATGAAGATGATCCATCAGAGTCTTCAGCAGACTCATCCAAACCACTCTCTCCTGTAGGCTGCTGCAATTGCCTTCCTCCTCCTCCGCTCCCCCCCTCTCCCCCTGCCTCTCCCCCTGCCTCTCCCCCTGCCTCTCAACCTACTACTCGTTGGTTTCTCCTCTTCTGGGTCAAAGTCAGAGTCACTCTCTATCAGTCCCTCTTCCTTCTCCTCCTCCTCCGGGTCAAATTCAGAGTCACTCTCTCTCTGTCCCTCTTCTTCATCTGTCTCTTCACCCTCCATCTCACACTCACCACCCTCCCCCTCACACTCATCTGCAGCCACCTGCTTCTTCTCTCCTTCTCTGTCTATCTGAGAGGTTTGGCTTTCAGAGTCCTCAGGCTCCATAGAGTATATTGTCACCTCAATAGAGGCCTGCTGCTCAGCATCATTCTCCTGTTGTTTACCTCCTAGGAACTTTCCCTTTCTCTCCTCTCCTCCCTCATTCTCCTGTGAGGACAGGCCATTCTCCTCCTGGCTTTGTGCACTGTCCGTCTCACTGTCCAACACCACCTCAGTTACTTTCTTGTTCTCTTCTGCTCCTTTGTTCCCCTCCTTCTTCTCCCTCACCAAGGACGTGCCACTTCCCCCTGGTCTTGGTGGCTGGTCTACAGTCACCTCCATCTGCAAAGAGCCAGTCAGCTCCAGGGCCCCATCTGTGTCCTCAGACGGCAGGGCCACCTGCATGTCAGCCACCTTAGCGAAGGAAAACACCAGTATTATTGGAGTGACAGTTCTGTATAAAAAAAATAACTAGAGATACCACAGAATACAAATAACTGAAGTTAGTTATTTCACAATATCAACTGTTAATCCTTAAATACCCACCTGGGTGTTCTGTGGCTCCTCCCCATTTCCTCTGTGTGTCTGGACAGAAGACACGTTGCTTGCCCATGTCCTGAGGTGGTTGCAGCTCTGGCAGTGTTGGGTCACAGAGAGGCACGTCCTGTCTCCCTGCGTCTGGATCACACTCTCACGCCTGCACTGCTCACACCGCTGAAACAGCTGCAGCAGGCAGTCAATGTTCACTATAATATCTTCTGGGGAGGGAGTGGGGGCAGCAGCTTGTGGAGGGGGGGCAGCTAACCTGGGTCAAATACAAAAAAGAGCAGGTGCTATTGGCTCTTGCCAATTCATACTCATTAGCATATTTAGAAGAGATAGTCCTGAAGAGACAGTCATTCACATTATCATGCAATTTTATCTTCTAGGAACATGCGTTGATTAAATATTTCAATAATAAGAGTCCCCTCAGCCACGTAGTCTATTGAAAACTGAGTGGTGCAGTGCTCGGTAGTCTCTCGGAACAGGATAATCGTTTTTTCCAACGTGCATGTGAGATTTGGATGCCTAAATTAGGCTGGCTTCTGTAGAAAGTGTTTTAAAAATCTGCCCCATTATTTGTGAGTTAGAGACCTCTCTAACACCCAGGAAGCTCTGATTCAAACTCCCTTTCACCAGCTCTGCAAGCGTTATAATGTCAAAATGCGTTCGTTCCTCTCCAAATATGGAGTTTTGCTGAGTAACTATCTTCATTTATTCCTGCTATGGTCGGTCTGTACTTTCAAAAAAGGTCTAAATAAAAATGCCTCTGGATAAGAGCGTCTGCTGAATGACTAAAATGTAAATGTAAATGTACAAATTACCTCGACTAACCTGTATTGACTCGGTACCGGTACCCCCTGTATATAGCCTCGTTATTGTTATTTTATTGTGTTACTTTTTATTTTATTTTAAATTTTATTTTACTTTAGTTTATTTAGTAAATATTTTCTTACCTCTTTCTTGAACTGCATTGTTGGTTAAGGGCTTGTAAGTAAGCATTTCACGGTAAGGTCTACACCTGTTGTATTCCGCACATGTGACAAATAACATTTGATTTGATAGCTGATATGGCCTATCATTTTTTTTTTTATGATTTGGTTAGAAAGGCCCCTTGAGACCGCCCCGCCCCCTCTGTGCTGAGACCCTAGCTCCACGCGGTTCTGGGACAATAGATCCAAAATTCATACAACTACTGTACATAAAAATATATATTAAGCAATGAGGCTAAAGCAACTGACCAGAACATTTAGCTGAAAATGTTGATGAACTCATTTCTTCACATTATAAGCGCAGCAATGCGCCCACAGCAGTAGTCTACGCGCAAATGTTCGCAACAGGTACTGGCCTTTCTCTCAGCTCTTGTGACCATTTGATCTGAACGAACTGTGCCTCGAGTATGTCAACAGAATCAAACCTTTAGATGTTAATGTTAATTATCCTACATTATACTTGTCAACAAACATGACTGGCGTTTAGCATAAAGTGTGAATTCGGAAAGAGTGGGACATCATAAACTGACACAGCTTAATTCTGACGCATTTATTTCTTGGTCTGACATGAGAAAATCAAAACTATTGTTAAGCCCTTGCAGAGAAACCACACGATCAAAATCACATCACTTCATTGGTGTGACATCATAGAGGGGGGCAGAGCAAGCTTCAAACAGGAAGCTCACCCCGCAAAGCACATAGTGACATAGCTTTTTTTCCTTTTTTGATGTTGAGGTTATAAAATTGTCTAATATTGCACTGTGCCAAATGTTGATGTAAATGTGCATATTATGTAGTACTGCATCAAAATACATAAAGATGTTACCAATATTATGTTTCAGTTTTGAAATTCAGTCTTTTTTGTTGTCCCACTGTACCAACCATAGCTAGCTAAAGTAGGACAGTCTTGTAGGCTTTTCCATGGGGGAAAGAGATACAGTTTACATTAGGGACCCCCTGTATTCATTAGGCAGGGCTCTGGTTATTGTAGTACTATATCCTGTAAAAAAAATGGTAGTACTGTTATTAGTACTGTTAATTGAGTATTCATACTCAGTATGAAAAAAATGTATGCACTCACTAACTAAGTCGCTCTGAATAAAAGCGTCTGCTAAATGACTAAAATGTAAATGTCTTCAGAAAAGGTGGGACACTTTTTGCATTTTGCAAACTGGGCCACCATTATAGTCGTAATTGTACCCCAATGGGCTATTAGCCCAACACATGACACGTTTCAGAAATCTTCAGATGTTTCCTAATCACACAATGTTATTGTCATTGGGGTACAATTAGGACTATAATAATGGTGTCCCAGTTGATCTAACCTGCTGTCCCAGTCTACCAAATGCGAACAAAAAATATGGCTTTGACTCAGTGTGGCCAAAATGGGTGTGTCATGCATCCTGTTAACATATCAACAAAGAAAATGTGTGTGTGATTTAGGAAACATCTTGAGGATTTCAGAAATGTATCATGTGTTGGGATAATATGTTGGATAGATGTCGAAAGATGGAAATGCAAAAAGTGTCCCACATTTTTTGTCTAGTTTTCAGGCCTTGTGGGCGGGGTTTTGGGTTGTCATTGGTTTTGAAATTTTAGGTAGACCTGGTAACCCTGGTAGGCTAAACTGGTAGACTGCAGAAAAAACTCGAATTACCTGTCAAGCAAAAACAAAGCCACTTCGGCATCTGTAGGCATAGATTTCTCCTCCTTGAGGTCCCTCCATCTGGTAAAAGCTTCTCCGATATTAATCCGATTTCTGGATTTGTCCTTTAATTTTCTCCACTCAGAATCTCGATCGGGTTTCTTCTTCGGTGGTAAAAAGGGTGTAAAGATTATATTGTTGTTATTATTGGCCATGATTGGGCGCAATAGAGCCACTATTTAAAACTAAATCAAATGTTTTAGGGACGTGTGTAACGTGGGCTTTCCTTACGAATCTCTGCGTTCCACCATTATTGTCTCCACCGCGGAAATGACCTACCTAATTTACCCTAGTCTTCCCCCCCTTCTTCTTCTTCAGTAGGGTTTAAGGTCGGTTGGCATCCAATCAGTGCAGTACCGCCACCTACTGTGCTGGAGCGTGTGCCAGAGACCGAAAGGAACTAAATCCTTCCTGCCAGCCCCGTTTCTCTTGGGACACACTGTCTGAATCCGAAATCACCCCCTTCCCCTTGCCCCTCCATTTGCGAGTTCAAACGCGCCTCCAACATTTGCATAAGTGTCCCAAAACTGAGGGAGTGAAAATTATAGAGAATGTAAGGCAGAGTTCCCCAACTGGCAGACCATTCGGCCCACTGGTGGTTTTATTTGGGCCCCCAAGTTTTTCTCCCAAATTAAATGTTAAACTGTTAATGCGTTTTATATATTGTAAAACGACAGGGGGGATTTTTTCATTAGAATTTTATGCTCATTCTATTATTTAAAAGTGGGACATGAATTGCATCATTGAAGTCGGCAGTGTGTCCCGAAGTTGATGGGTTTATTGATCCCATCGCCACTCTCTGGAAGTCACCCTCTGAGTTTCGTCAGCAACAAGTGACAATGGAGGGCCCTTGGAACGAGTTGGTAGGGGCTAGAGGGTGGTTTGGGATTCCCTCTCTTTAGTTGTCAGTGTTTATTATGATTTTAGTGGCAAAGTAGAATAAAATATCAAAATATGAGGTAAACTCCCAGCAGAGCCCCAAGTCCAATGGGTATATCCTCTGGCATGTTGATGTTAATGTGTTTATGTTCTCCATATCCATAGCCAGAATGATTTTGCAGTGCTTGGTGATCGAACAGGTTTCCTGTTATATTCATCAGAGGTGTGGGGAGGGTGAAGTCTGTGAATCCACATTTTTTAAATTATACTGATGTTTAATTAAACATGCACACGACAGTATTCATACCTTGGTTTTTGTGGTAAATGTGAATTAAAAAAAAACTGTTTTGATAATGGTTTTCATACACATACCTTGTCCATAATGTAGAGGCCTATGGGATTTTAATTGAAGAGGTAAGGGAGGAGGATGGTAAATGTGATCTGCATAACATACCAATACCAATTGACATACCTTTGTATGCCTCCTCGTCTGTATTCCTGCAGACACAAAAGTGAGCAGTTCAGTCATCTGCACCCAATACAGCTAGCCTTCAACATATTCTTATAGCATAGATATTCTTACCTCTTTGTTGATTGATATCAATTGAATTGTGTAAATTTTCTGTTTTACAAAGATTTGCACAAAAATGAAATGATAGATGGTATCATCATAAAATAATATCAATTTAGATCATATAAAGGACAAACCTTACCTTAAATTGAAGAGATCTTTGCATTTTTCAGTTAAGCGCCTGCACCTGCTGTCCTTTTAAATTCAAATCCAAATGTTTAATCTGGGCAGTTAGGTTCCTGCAAGAACCCCCACCAACTAAGGAGGTTCCTCAATGAATACACTTTTGGGGGCAATTTTGAGTGCCAAGAACCCTAAGGTTCTTCAAAGAACATTGAGGATCATAGAAGAACCCTTGTTGAACCCCTAATGTTTTGAGTGTAGAACAAAAACAAATGAGAAATAATAATAACACAAGAAAGTAAGTAAGCATACAGGGTCAGTTCCAGAACCATATTTACAATGTGCAGGGATACTGGAGTGATAGGTAGATGTGTATAGGGTTAAGTTGACTAGGCATCAGGATATATGATAAACAGAGTAGCAGCAGCGTATATGATGATTGTATGTCAGTGGGTGTGCTTGTGTGTATGTCAGGATAATAGGAAGTGCCAATTAGCGGCAGGCCCTCTAACAAGCTAGCACATCTACTTCCTTATTCCCTTCCACCCCCTAAGGCAGGGGTATTCAACTCTTACTCTACAACAGGGTTGCCCAACCCTCTTCCTGGAGATCTACTGTCCTGTAGGTTTTCAGTCCAACCCTAATTTAGCATATCTGATTCAGCTAGTTAAGGTATTGTTGAGCAGCTAATAAGTAGAATCAGGTGTGTTTAAATTAGGGTTGGACTGAAAACCCACAGGACGGTAGATCTCCAGGAAGAGGGTCTGAAGCCTGCTGGTTCTGTTCTCCCTGATAATTAATTGCACCCACCTGGTTTCCCAGGTCTAAATCAGTCCCTGATTGAGGTCCAGAGTTGAGTTTGAGGGCCCTATGGTCTGTGATCCAAGCAAAACTAATCTGGACACGGCACCCATCTGTCTCACCCGGGCTTGAGTTTGGAGTACCTCATATAGCATGTCTTGTCTACTCCATGAACTATGCTGAACAAAAATATAAACGCAACAATTTCAAAGATTTTACTGAGTTACAGTTCATATAAGGAAATCAGTCAATTGAAATCAATTAATTAGGCCCTAATATATGGACTTCACATGACTGGAAATACAGATATGCATCTGATGGTCACAGATACCTTTAAAGAAAAGGTAGGGGTGTGGATCAGAAAACCAGTCAGTATCTTGTGCGACTACCATTTGCCTCATGCAGCACGAAACATCTCCTTCGCATAGAGTTGATCAGGCGTTGATTGTGGCCTGTGGAATGTTGTCCCACTCCTCTTCAATGGCTGTGCGAAGTTGCTGGATATTGGCAAGAACTGGAACACGCTGTCGTACACATCGATCCAGAGCATCCCAAACATAATCAATGGGTGAACATGCTCAATGGGTGACATGTCTGGTGAGTATGCAGGCCATGGAAGAACTGGGACATTTTCAGCTTCCAGGAATTGTGTACAGATCCTTGCAACATGGGGCTGTGGATTAATATGCTGAAACATGAGGTGATGGCGGCGGATGAATGGCAAGACAATGGGCCTCAGGATCTCATCACGGTATCTCAGTGCATTCAAATTGCCATCGATAAAATGGAATTGTGTTCGTTGTCCGTAGCTTATGCCTGCCCATACCATAACTCCACCGCAGGGCACTCTGTTCACAACATTGACAAAAGCAAACCGCTTGCCCACACAATGCTATACACGTGGTCTGCGGTTGTGAGGCCGGTTGGACATACTGCCAAATTCTCTAAAACGACATTGGTAGAGAAATTAACATTCGATTATCTGGCAACAGCTCTGGTGGACATTCCTGCAGTCAGCATGCCAATTGCACGCTCCCTCAAAACTTGACACATCTGTGGCATTGTGCTGTGTGACAGAACTGCACATTTTAGTGGCCTTTTGTCCCCAGTACAAGGTGCACCTGTGTAACGATCATGCTGTTTAATCAGCTTCGTGATATGGCACACCTGTTAGGTGGATGGATTATCTTGGCAAAGGAGAAATGTGTGCACAAAATATGAGATGTTTTTTGTGCCTATGGAACATTTCTGGAATCTTTTATTTCAGCTCATGAAACATGGGACCAACACTCATGTTGCGTTCACATTTTTTTTCAGTGTAAAATACTTAAACTCACCGATACAGCACGAGTCAAAACACACAACAACCCTCTCCTGCTTAATTTCCTCCACCCACAGCAAGGCCAACAGTACTGCCATCAGCTCTGCTTTGTAAATTTACATCATTTAGCAGACGTCTGCAAACTGCCACCTCACATTATTTCACAACAAATGCTGATCCTACACGACTTGTTATTGGATCTTTTGGTATAGATGGATCAAAACAGCTCAAATGGAGCAACCCCCTCCCTATCTTTGCGTCGTCTCAAACACTTCAAGATCAACTACTGGAGTCGGGAATAGCCATGGTGGGTTTACAGGAATAGCTACAGTGGGGTTTAACTCCTTTCCATACAGTCCCATCTCCCTCACCTGGGTATCTCCCACCCAAAGCTTGTGTTCTGTCCTCGCTCATTTTCCCAGCATGCCTGTAGCACCTCAATCATATTATGAGACACCCCATGTCCCTATAGATCAGGGCTGCCCATCTCTTCCTGGAGATCTACTGTCCTGTGGGTTTTCAGTCCAACCCTAATTTAACACACCTGATTCTACTTATTAGCTGTTCAACAAGACCTTAACTAGCTGAATCAGATATGCTAAATTAGGGTTGGACTGAAAACCTACAGGACAGTAGATCTCCAGGAAGAGGGTTGGGCAGAACCTGCTATAGATTGACCCAATAATTGATAGCCAGCTGCAGTCTCCTAATCTGCAATCCCATCTCCCCCATCCCCCCATCTCCCCCATCTTCACCTGTAGTTTTTGCCACAAGCGAAAAATGCGACTATTTACACAATCATTCTAAAATCTCATAAGAAATTTGGTGTTTGTCTTACAGTAACATTATGCTATTATATGTGGTTCTGTTATGTAGAATAGTATCATTGTGATCTCCAGACATTGATTCAGCTTTGATCTAACTTTATTAAATGAGCACCATTCACCAGAGTAGCCTGTTCTCTACAAGTAGAGCAGAGACTGTACATAAAGTAGAGAATGCCGCAATTACACAGAAGCTTCGGGACCTTTAGCTGTTGGGAAGAGGGATCCAGAAAAATCGGATCCAGGGAAGAGGGTTCCAGAAAAATCAGATCTGCAGCAATTCCGTTAGCTAAACGGAGTGGCGAATGGTGCTTGTTTAATAAAGTTAGATCAAAGCTGAAGCAATGTCTGCAAGATCACATAATTATGGTATTGTACATAACAGAACCGAATATAATTGCATAACGTTACTGTAAGACAAAAAACACCACCTCATTTATGAGATTTTAGGATGATTGTGCGAATGGTCGCATTTCTCTCCTGCCGCCAAAACTCAACAGCGTTGTGCCAAGATATGTCCTGAAACAAAACACAGGTAGGCCTATGCTAGTTTGTTAACACCCTCTGCTCTAAAATTCACTCACTGTACATCATTCAAAACAACACTGTACATAACTCAAGAAGATCTAAATGCATTTCCATGAAACTGATTGAGATCACCATTTAATGGTTGGCAAGATGAAGAATTATCACTCACGATTGACTATGAGAAATGTGAAGGGAGGGTGACCACAAAAATGCGTAAAGAAACACGTGCAGAACGTGATTCAGATCTTCAGCTCTGGGGAAGAGGCTTCCAGAGGGGCGGGGCGAGACAGGGGCGGTTACCTTCGGAACCGCAGCTTCTGTCTATAAACAACATGGCTCAAAAACAAGTTATGAAGTGATCAATTTCTCGCCTTTTGATTACTAGTATAAATCATTGGAGCAATTTTTAAATGTGAGAATCTTGAACAATACACCCTTTGAGTAGGCGCAACGCAACGGACTAGGTGTAAAACAAAACTAGGTGACTTGATAGTAAGATATGGTAGTTAGCTAGAATGACTGAAAGTTGAGGCCTACGCATTACCTGTCGAAGGAGAAAGCATGCCAGGCTTTTCCATGCTTGCAGTTCTCGCCACTGTGAAAAAACGCAACAACACCTATACTTACTCTGGTCTGGCGAACGGTGACGTCGGCTCAAAACAAAAGTGACTTTAAGTAAAGAACTTGGAGTAATGAGTAGGATGATGTGTTTTGAAATGCAAAACAAGTGACTGTTTTTAGTAAAATAAATGCTCTATCTGCTTTCCCAATGAAAACTAGTTAGAAAATTCTGGCATATTTTATGGAAAAGAGATGTATGTTTCTGTTTCCAGTGATGATCATGACACCATAGAGTACAGAAACAGCATCATATTAAAGGCAAAGTCACACATTTAATGAACAATGGCCCGGTTGTACCATATTAGTAAAAAATATAGAAAACCTCAAGGACGGGTGTCCCAGATACAGATTATGACTAGTCCTGCAATTGAAAGCATGTCCATTGAAATGCATTTTAGTCCAGGATTATGTTCAATCCGGTTCCGGGAAGCCGGAACAGCTCAATGTTCAAAGGCAGAACATGAGGATAACAAATTCTAGTGCCAGGAGATGTTTCCTGCTATTAGTCTTGAGTCATATTCACTAGGAACAAATCAGAAGCAAACAGTCCAAAACGAAGAGGCACTACTTGAACTTTTCTTTTAAGGTTGCAAAACGTTTTGCTACAGTGTGCACTAATGAATACAACCTTGGGTCTCTGTCCACCCAGCTCTCCAACAGCAGTGCCTTCAACTACTCTGTCCTGTAGGCCTCTGCTAGCGACTCCCTACTCTTCCTCTTCCTTTACTACTCCCAATCATCTTCTACTCCTCTGGGTCAAAGTCAGAGTCACCCTCTCGCTGACTCTCCTCCTCATTCTCAGGATCATCATTGCACTGGCACTTCCTCTTCCTCTGTTTCTCCTCCACTCTCTTTGCTCCCTCTCCTCCAGCCCACATCTCCCACTCAGTCCAGAAGGTTAGCTCTACCTGCTGCCGAGGCTTCCTCTGCCCCACCTCCCCTCCCTCCTTCCATCTGTTTCCCTCCTCTCCCCCTGTCCCCTAACTCCTGGTCCTTCATCAGGGTCCAGCCCTGAGTCTGGGCTGTGGTAGCGTGTGACGTGGTTCTTGAGGCTGACGTTGTGGTTGAAGCTCTTGTCACAGCGCTGGCATTGGAAGGGCCTCTCCCCAGTGTGGACACGCAGGTGGGACTTCAGCTGGCTGGGTAAAGGCATGCTGGCAAACCTGGTACCCAGGGAAGAGCAACATTGACCATGTAAATACAATACTTAACATTTCAATTACAATTTAAAGCATTTGTTTTTTCAAAAACAGATTTATAGTAAATAGCCCTCTTCAAATAGGAGTTACAAAAAGTAATTAATTAGTATTGCATACGTGACATTTGAAGGGCTTGTCGTCACTGTGGATCCGCTCATGCCTCTCCAGGGATTGACGTTGGTCGAATTCCTTATATGTATGACAGATGTGTTTCTTGGACTCATGCGCTCTGAGATGGCGATTCCATATGAGGATGTTGTCAAACCTCAGTGAGCACTGAGCAGCGGTAGCATCTGTGATTTTTAAATATTTTGAATCTGTGGGCTTCTCATGGGTCAGCTTGTCCGGCCGCGTCCTGAAGGATTGGAGGCAGAACTTACAGGGAAACTTAAGGTCCTGACGGTGTTGCCTCTGGTGACTCTTGAGGCCGAGTTCATTCACACAGCGCTTCCCACAGTCTGGACAGCGGACCATGAACTTGTGTTCACATTTACGGTGCTGCAGTCTGGTGGAGTACAGGATGCCACATTCAGGACAGAGGACCATATGGTGTTTGGAGTGTTTGAATTTTTGCTGGATGCTGGCAAGGTCACCAGAGCCCAGTTCTCCAGCGGCACCGCTGAACGACTCCTGATCCTGCTGGTCTCTCTGGGGTGATGATGAAGATGATCCATCAGAGTCTTCAGCAGACTTGTCCAAACCACTCTCTCCTGTAGGCTGCTGCAATTGCCTTCCTCCTCCCGTCCCTCTCCTCCTACCTCTCCCTGTTGCTTTCTCCTCTGGGTCAAATTCAGAGTCACTCTCTCTCTGTCCATCTTCCTCATCTGTCTCTTCACCCTCCATCTCACACTCACCACCCTCCCCCTCACACTCATCTGCAGCCACCTGCTTCTTCTCTCCTTCTCTGTCTATCAGAGAGGTTTGGCTTTCAGAGTCCTCAGGCTCCATAGAGTATATTGTCACCTCAATAGAGGCCTGCTGCTCAGCATCATTCTCCTGTTGTTTACCTCCTAGGAACTTTCCCTTTCTCTCCTCTCCTCCCTCATTCTCCTGTGAGGACAGGCCATTCTCCTCCTGGCTTTGTGCACTGCCTGTCTCACTGTCCAATACCACCTCAGTTACTTTCTTGCTCTCCTCTGCTCCTTTGTTCCCCTCCTACTTCCACCTCACCAATGATGGACCACTTCCCCCTGGTCTTGGTGGCTGGTCTACAGTCACCTCCATCTCCAGAGAGCCAGTCAGCTCCAGGGCCTCATATGTGTCCTCAGACGGAAGGGCCACTTGCACATCCGCAACCTAAGCAAGGAATACACCATTATTGGAGTTATAATTCTGTCTTTTATTTTAAATAAAATACCTAGAGATTCCACAGAATACAAATAACTGAAGTTCGTTACCTCACAATATCAAGAGTTAATCCTTAAATACCCACCTGGGTGTTCTGTGGCTCCTCCCCATTTCCTCTGTGTGTCTGGACAGAAGACAAGTTGCTTGCCCATGTCCTGAGGTGGTTGCAGCTCTGTTAGTGTTGGGTCACAGAGAGGCATGTCCTGTCTCTCTGCGTCTGTATCACACTCTCACGCCTGCACTGCTCACACCGCTGAAACAGCTGCAGCAGGCAGTCGATATTCACAATAATATATTCTGGGGAGGGAGTGGGGGCAGCAGCTTGTGGAGGGGGGGGGGGCAGCTAACCTGGGTCAAATACAAAAAAGAACGGGTGATTTCCTGCCACTATTGGCTCTTCCAAATTCATAAACATTAACATATTTGGAAGAGACAGATGGAATGTTCCTCATTCCTTTGCATCATCACACAATCGTATCTTCTAGTAACATGCATTGATTAAATACACTACATGACCAAATGTGTGTGGACACCTGCTCGTTTAACATCTCATTCCAAAATCATGGGCATTAATATGGAGTTGGTCCCCCCTTTGCTGCTATAACAGCCTCCACTCTTCTGGGAAGGCTTTCCACTAGATGTTGGAACATTGCTGCAGGGACTTGCTTCCATTCAACCACAAGAGCATTAGTGAGGTCAGGCACTGATGTTGGGCGATTAGGCCTGGCTCGTAGTCGGCGTTCCAATTCATCCCAAAGGTGTTCAATTGAGTTGAGGTCAGGGCTCTGTGCAGGCCAGTAAAGTTCTTCCACACCGATCAACAAACCATTTCTGTATGGACCTCGCTTTGTGCACGGGGGCATTATCATGCTGAAACAGGAAAGGGCCTTCCCCAAACCGTTGCCATAAAGTTGGAAGCACGGAATCGTCTTGAATGTCATTGTATGCTGTAGCATTAAGATTTCCCTTCACTGGAACTAAGGGGCCTAGCCCTAATCATGAAAAACAGCCCCAGACCATTATTACTCCTATACCAAATGCACAGTTGGCACTATGCATTGAGGCAGGTAGCGTTCTCCTGGCATCGGCCAAACCCAGAGTCATCCGTCGGACTGCCAGATGGTGAAGCGCGATTCATCACTCCAGAGAAGGCGTTTCCACTGCTCCAGAGTCCAATGGCAGCAAGCTTTACACCACTCCAGCCGGCATATGGCATTGCGCAGGGTGATCTTAGGCTTGTGTGTGGCTGCCTGGCCATGGAAACCCATTTCATGAAGCTCCCGACGAACAGTTCTTGTGCTGACGTTGCTTCCAGAGGCAGTTTGGAACTCGGTAGGGAGTGTTGCAACAGACGATTTTTACGCACTACGCACTTCAGCACTCGTGGTCCCATTCTGTGTGCTTGTGTGGCCTACCACTTCGCGGCTGAGCCGTTGTTGCTCCTAGACATTTCCACTAAACAATAACAGCGCTTACAGTTGACCAGGGCAGCTCTAGCAGGGCAGAAATTTGATGAACTGACTTGTGGGAAAGGTGGCATCCTATGACAGTGCCACATTGAAAGTCACTGAGCTCTTCAGTGAGGCCATTCTAATGCCAATGAGTATCTATGGAGATTGCATGGCTGTGTGCTCGATTTTATAGACCGGTCAGCAACGGGTGTGGCCGAATTCACTAATTTGAAGGGGTGTCCACATACTTTTGTATATACAGTGCATTCGGAAAGTATTCAGACCCCTTGACTTTTTCAATTTTTGTTACGTTACAGCCTTATTCTAAAATTGATTAAATAAATAACATCTCATCTACACACAATACCCCATACTGACAAAGCGAAAACAGGTTTTTAGACATTTTTCCAAATGAAAAACCTACCTTATTTACTTAAGTATTCAGACCCTTTGCTATGAGACTCAAAATTGGGCTCAGGTGCATCCTGTTTCCATTGATCATCCCGGAGATGTTTCTACAACTTGATTGGAGTCCACCTGTGGTAAATTCAATTGATTGGACATGATTTGGAAAGGCACACACCTGTCTATATAAAGGTCCCACAGTTGACAGTGCATGTCAGAGCAAAAAACAAGCCATGAGGTCAAAGGAATTGTCCGTAGAGCTCCGAGACAGGATTGTGTCGACGCACAGATCTGGGGAAGGGTACCGAAACAGTTCTGCAACATTGAAGGTCCTCAAGAACACAGTGGCCTCCATCATTCTTAAATGGAAGAAGTTTGGAACCACCAAGACTCTTCCTAGAGCTGGCAACCCAGCCAAACTGAGCAATCGGGGGAGAAGAGCCTTGGTCAGGGAGGTGACCAAGAACCCGATGGCCACTCTGACAGAGCTACCGAGTTCCTCTGTGGAGATGGGAGAACCTTCCAGAAGTACAACCATCTCTGCAGCACTCCACCAATCAGGCCTTTATGGTAGAGTGACCAGACGGAAGCCACTCCTCAGTAAAAGGCACGACAGCCCGCTTGGAGTTTGCCAAAAGGCACCTAAAGGACTCTCAGACCATAAGAAACAAGATTCTCTTGTCTGATGAATCCAAGATTGAACTCTTTGGCCTGAATGCCAAGCGTCTGGAGAAAACCTGGCACCATCCCTACGGTGAAGCATGGTGGTGGCAGCATCATGCTGTGGGGATGTTTTTAAGCGGCAGGGACTGGGAGACTAGTCAGGATCGAGGGAAAGATGAACGGAGCAAAGTACAGAGAGATCATTGATGAAAACCTTCTCCAGAGTGATCAGGACCTCAGACTGGGGCGAAGGTTCACCTTCCAACAGGACAACAACTCTAAGCACACAGCCAAGACAACGCAGGAGTGGCTTCGGGACAAGTCTCTGAATGTCCTCGAGTGGCCCAGCCAGAGCCCGGACTTGAACCCGATCGAACATCTCTGGAGAGAAAATAGCTGTGCAGCGACGCTCCCCATCCAACCGGACAGAGCGGATCTGCAGAGAAGAATGGAAGAAACTCCCCAAATACAGATGTGCCAAGCTTGTAGCGTCATACCCAAGAAGACTCGAGGCTGTTATCGCTGCCAAAGGTTCTTCAACAAAGTATTGAGTAAAGGGTCCGAATACTTATGTAAATGTGATATTTCAGTTTATTTGTAATAAATCTGCAAAAAATTCTAAAAACCAGTTTTTGCTTTGTCATTATGGGGTATTGTGTGTAGATAGATGAGGGGGGAAAACGATTTAATCCATTTAGAATAAGGCTATAACGTAACAAAATCTGGAAAAAGTCAAGGGGTCTGAATACTTTCCGAATGCACTGCATAGTGTATTTCAATAATAAGAGTCCCATATAGCCACCTAGTCTATAAATTTCAACTTGAACACTGAGTGGTGCAGTGCGTTTGGCTCGGTAGTCTCTCGGAACAAAATAATCCCGTTTCTAGCGTGCACGTGAGATTTGGGTGCCGAGATTAGCTGCTGTAGAAAGAGTAAAATAACCACAACACGTTATTAAACTGGTAGACTGCAGAAAAAAACAATTACTGGTCAAGCAAAATACAAAGCCTCTTCTGCATCTGTAGGCATCTCTCTCTCTATCGGGTTTCTTGTTTAAATTTTGTATTATTTTGTATTTATTTCTTTTAAAGAAACACTTCGATATACCAACACAGGACAATAACAAAACAAAATGATACATCCAGAAATATGTATATATTGTGCCTAATCAAAGTCAAGTTCTTATTTGCCTTCAGAAAGTATTCATACCCCTCGACTTATTCCACATTTTGCCTGAATTGCAAAAAATAAAATAACCCATCTACACACAATACCCCATAATGACAAAGTGAAAACATGTTTTTGAAATGTCTTCAAATGTATTGAAAGTCAAATACAAATCTCATTTACATAAGTATTCACACCCCTTTGCTATGAAACACCATATTGAGCTCAGGTGCATACAATTTCCTTTGATCATCTTTGAGATGTCACTACAACTTGATTGGAGTCCACCTTTGGCCAATTCAATTGTTTGGACATGATTTAGAAAGAAACACACCTGTCCATATAAGGTCCCACAGTTGACTGTGCATGTCAGAGCAGAAACTATACCATGAAGTCCAAGGAACTGTCCGTAGATCAGAGATATAATTGTGATGAGGCATATATCTGAGGAAGGGTATAAAACAATTTCTAGAGTGTTGAAAGTTTCCAAGAGCACAGTGGTCTACATCATTGGGAAATTGAAAAAATATGGAACTACCCAGACTTTGCCTAGAGCTGGCCATCTGACCAAACTCAGCAACTGTACAAGAAGGACCTTGGTCAGGGAGGTGACCAAGAACCTAATGACCACTCTGACAAAACTACAGAGTTCCTAGGCTGAGATGGGAGAACCTGCCAGAAAGACAACAGTTTCTACAGCACTTCACCAATCTGGGCTTTATGGGAGTGTGGCCAGACGTAAGTCACTCCTGAGAAAAAAGGCACATGACAGCACGCCTGGAGTTTGCAAAAAGGCACGTGAAAGACTGAGCATAAGGCAAAAGATTAGGTGGTCTGATGAGACAAATGGATCACTTTGGGCTGAATGTAAAGCCCTATGTCTGGAGAAAACTAGGCACAGCTCATCACCTGCCTAACACCATGCCTACCATGAAGCATGGTGGTGGCTGCATCATGCTATGGGGATGCTTTTCAGCAGCAGGGACTGGGAGACTAGTAAGGATAGCGGGAACAATGAATGGAGTGCTAATTACCTTAGACTTGGGTGAAGATTTACATTCCAACAGGACAATGACCACAAGCATATAGCCACAGCAACACTGGAATGGCTTCAGAACAAGAATGTGAAAGTCTTTGAGTGGCCCAGCCAAAGCCCAGACTTGAATTCCATTGAAAATATGTGGAAAGACTTGAAGATTGCTGTTCAAGTCGTCCCCATCTAACTTAACAGAGTTTGAGAAAATCTGCAAGGAAGAATGGGAGAAAATCCCCAAATCCAGATGTGCCAAGCTGATGCGGATATACCCAAGACGAGAAAGCTGTAATCGCGCGCCAAAGGTGCTTCTACAAAGTATTGACTCATGTGCGCATACTTATATAAATTATATATATTTCTATTTTAATGTTAATACATTTGCAAACATTTCTGAAAACATGTTTTAACATTGTCATTATGGGGTATTGTTTGTAGATGGGTGAGAAAAAAAATATTTAATCCATTTTGAATTCAGGCTGTAACAACAAAATGTGGAATAAGTCCAGGGGTATGAATACTTTCTGAAGGCACTAACTATGGATGGGATGAAAAAAGGTCAGTATTTGGTTATGAGCTGACAAAACTCCTTATTCCTGATGTTATTTAGGAGATGGCGGAGG